CCTTGAAGATGCGGGACAGTGCAGTCCAGTGTACAAGGATAAAACTTAGCGCGCTTCGTACCCAGGTCCAAGCGAGCCTTGATTCTGAAAGGATTCAAAATCGTATACTGAAGGAAGAACTCGTGCCGGCGAGGAAGGCGTTGGAGGAGAAAGATGTCGCGAGACGGATGGATGAGGACTTGCTAAGGAGATTGCAATCGCAGTGTGACGAGTTGAGATCACAATGAGCAGCGTTAGTGGGAGTGAAACTTCTAACTAGTTCGCATAAACAACATATTAAAAATAAAAGTACACTTAAAAAATAAGACACATAGAAGAACTAATATTTGAAAACCTGTTGATATCCAAACTGTATCATATTAATTAAAATATATGCATAAATCCTCATTTTCATCATTTATCATAAATATGTCTAATTCATGGTACTTGGATAAAAATATATAAAAGTCATTTTATCATCAAAAACTCATTGTTCAAATTTTTATTGATTTGTTCAATGATACCAGTAAAAAATAAAAATATCTATGTGATATATATGTATTTATTAAAGAAATGGTTTAATCAAACTAAAGCAGTAAATTTTTAATCAATATAATTATTTTTAAATGAATATTAAATAGTTTTAAAATTATAAATTGAAACTTCATAATTAAATTTCATAATTTACAAAAATTAAGAAGAGTTCAACATATAAAATTGATTAAAAATAATATTTTATTTAACTTAATTATTATATAAAAACACAGAAAAAATTAATTATAGTTATTTAATAAGTTATTTAAAATTAAAAAATTATTTTTTGAATCCAATTTTTTAACTCCAATTTTTATTATGGGTTTAAAAAAACATAAAAAATTTAAGTAAAATTGAAATTTTTTGAATCCAAATTTTCTTAGGGGTTAAAAAGATTGTATATAAAATTTAATCAAACTTGAAATTTGAATAATATTTGAAAATTTCCGATTGTAAAGATATGATTTTAAAAATCAATGCAATGTCAAATAAAAATTTTGATTCTAGTTTTACACAAGAATTTAAAAAATATGTAGGAAAATTTATATAGTGTTTTATACTTTAGTTTTTTTCATAGTTTGTGATGAATCATTTAGTTCCACAAGATGATGAATAAAAAAAGGCTTATCTAGTCTTGGCTTTTATAAATTGATAAATTTTGGTTTTATATGATCTTAAGATCAAAATTATTGTTAATAGATTACAATGTATAAGCTATGTTTTGAATTAATATAGTCCAACTGTACATTTTTTTCAAATATATAGTCTGAAAACTCATATCATTTGTAATATTTCATAATGTTATTAATAAGCAATGATAATTAGTGACTATATAATCTGAGAAAAAATATATTCTATGTGACAACATTTAATTTAATGAAAGTAAAGCATGAAGTTATAACATTAAGGAAGAGTTGACTTAGTTCATCTCTGGTTTCGTCTCGGAATCTTTTCAGGCTGCTGAGCATAAGATGAATAGCGTTGGCCTGGGCTCTGGATGCTTCGTCAGGGCCTGACTTGGAAAGAGTCTAAATATTTCCTCCTCTGGCATGAACTTTTCGAGTATGTCGGTTGCTTATTTAGAGATTCCATTGACGACTGCCCAACACAACCTCGCCATCGCCGGCATCGTTCTGTTTTCGATACCGTTTCCAGTCCGGATCTTTCATATCGCGAGAGGCGAATAGCCCAAAGGCCGTCGAGCACTCCGACTCTATCTCCTCGATCTCCTACTCCTCTTCTGTATAGGTGAGAAGACCTCCAGAACTGCAGACTGCAAGCACCACATGCCTGGGGCATGGCACGTAAAGATGAAAAAGGACTGTTCATGCATCTAGGCCGCTCTGATCACAAAGGCAGATTCGCAGAGATAACCATGGACAGGCCTATGCAGATGAGGCAGATGCTAAAAGTGTCTAATCCTAGCGCACAAATCCTAAATAAGATTAGATATCATGCCTACTCCTATTTAGGCATGATACCTAATCATCAGGCCTCTGTAGATTAGGCAGATGCCTAAAACTGCCTAAACTCAGCAAATCCTAAAGAAGATTAGGCATAACTAGGTATCATGCCTAGATGAGGCTAAAAGCAACTAACCGTTACTTTGGTTTCATGGCTTCATGTTAAACAAAAGATCCTACATTTTGCATTGGAAATTAATTCCAAAGTCAAATAAACTGAAAACATCATGAGAGTAATGTTTTATTGCTTCATGGAAAGCGGAAGTGAATATTTTTTGCATTCAAAAAATTCTTTCAAAGAAAAGAAGATGAAAATATTACGATGGGATTGTTTCATTGTGAACGACAAGTCATATTGTTTGCATTGGAGAAACACTTTCAATGAAAATTTAATCAATCACTAAATAATTACAGAAATACGTCACTTCAGAATTTCAACATCAAGAATTTGCTCTGGGTACTTGCCATGATACTTTTGAGAGTGACTGATACTCATTCCGAGGGAGTGTGTGCTCGCTCTTGATATAATTGAGATAGTTTTTGAGGCACATCTTTTTACTAAACATCTTATTCGTGGTAACTTTTGATTGTTTTCCCTCCACTTTCCACTCTTGACCAAATAATAAACATTGACACAACTGGTCTTGAGATTTCTTTCTGGAATCTGAAGTAGTTACTCCTTTTTATGCAATCTATTGCTTTATGGGTAATAGGATTCTGAGAGACTTTGACACGGTGTAAGAGGCTTTTAAAATATTTATGTTCCGAAGATTTGCTACTTTGACACTATGAACAGGTGAATAGTACTCCAAACACGTTAAGAATAGGATTCTTTGAAATTTGAGATTAGGTATATCAGCAAGCCTCTGTACATTAGGCATTCTAAAAATAGATGCCTAATATCTCTAATTTCAAATCTATTGAGTGCCTAATCTCCAAATTATTTTTTGAATAGTTTCAAAAAGAAAAATTATTTCTCGAGTAGTTTGAGGCAGAAAAATTTCCAAATGGCTAAATAGCAAAATGATCTAACTTATTAGTAGATTTCGTAAGTAAACTGTGTTCATTGTTTCCATATACAACATGTTGAGAGTGACTTCTCAATGTTGATATTATAAAAAAACAATTTTAACAGGTCACTTTTTTATTTTTCTTTATAATTGTTTTTCCAATGTAAACAATATGATATGTTGTGCACCTTGAAGCAATAAAACAAGGAGTATGATATTTTGCGCACTTTGAAGCAATAAAATAGGGAAATAATGTTTTTTGAGAGAATTCCTGTTTAAGACACATGCAAGAATCATTCTGGTGATTATACGTAACCTCGTTGATATGCTGTCTGTTACCATAGGTCATAGAGACTGAGAAAATTAGAGTCATTCAGATAATGGTGATTGTATATGAGAAGATTTCATGTAGTGGATCAAGTTGAGGCCCCGAACTTGGAATTTGGACAAATAGGGAAAAAATAGATATACTCGCCTGAACAACGGGTTGAGAGAAATTTAATTAGACAGAAAATTTTTTATGTTTTTTTTTTATGAGAAGTTTTGGTTAAATTTGATAAAATAAATTTCGTTTAAAATTATTATTTTTATAAGATATTGTTAAAGATTGAATCATTACTATGTAAAATTTAACTCAAATCGATAAAATATTAATCTTGGATTTTTTTAAATTGATGCCAAACGGTGACTAATTTCATTACGAATATGTGACTAATATACTAAGATTAGGCAAAAATAGACATATGGCTAAACTACAGAGGCCTGTATATCAGACATTTATTTTTTGAATGCCTAATCTACAAAGGCCTGCATACGAGCGAGATACATCCATGCTTTGACCCGGCAAGTGATGACGATCGCGGCACGCGCGCAATCGAGGGCCCACAGCCCTGCATACGAGCGAGATACATCCATGCTTTGACCCGGCAAGTGATGACGATCGCGGCACGCGCGCAACCGAGGGCCCACAGCCCTGTCTCGCAGATCAAGCTCGTTTAATTATTTCAATATCTTATCATCTTATTATCTTCGACAGCGATATTTGTAGTGCTGTGGTTCGCCTAAATATCATCCATGGGCAGGCCTACGTAGTTTAGGCATTCAAAAAATAAATGCCTGATATACCTAATCTCAAATTTCAAAGAATCCTAGTCTCAATGTGTTTGGAGTACTATTCACCTTTTCATAGTGTCAAAGTAGCAAATCTTCGGAACATAAATATTTTAAAAGCCTCTTACACCGTGTCAAAGTCTCTGAGAATCCTACTACCTATAAAGCAATAGATTGCAGAAAAAGGAGTAACTACTTCAGATTCCAAAAAGAAATCTCAAGACCAGTTGTGTCAATGTTTATTATTTGGTCAAGAGTGGAAAGTGGAGGGAAAACAATCAAAAGTTACCACGAATAAGATGTTTAGTAAAAAGATGTGCCTCAAAAACTATCTCAATTATATCAAGAGCGAGCACACACTCCCTCGGAATGAGTATCAGTCACTCTCAAAAGTATCATGGCAAGTACCCAGAGCAAATTCTTGATGTTGAAATTCTGAAGTGACGTATTTCTGTAATTATTTAGTGATTGATTAAATTTTCATTGAAAGTGTTTCTCCAATGCAAACAATATGACTTGTCGTTCACAATGAAACAATCCCATCGTAATATTTTCATCTTCTTTTCTTTGAAAGAATTTTTTGAATGCAAAAAATATTCACTTCCGCTTTCCATGAAGCAATAAAACATTACTCTCATGATGTTTTCAGTTTATTTGACTTTGGATTTCTTTTGCAATAGAAAATGTAGGATCTTGTGTTTAACATGAAGCCATGTAACGGTTAGTTGCTCTTAGCCTTATTTAGTCATGATACCTAGTCATGCCTATTTATATTTATGATTTGTGCCTAATTTGCTGACATATGAGCAGGCATCTGCCTTTTAGGCAGATGCCTGCTCATATGTCATATATATCGTGAACTTGAGTATATATACCTGAAAAGTCATTGTTGTGGAAGAGCTAAGCATATCTCAATATCTATTCTGAATCCTTCAATACACCATCTTCCTGCAGTGTTCGACATATCATCAATCTTTCAAAATGTCTCCCTCATTGCCCGCCTTCCTTACCAACTCTCCTCTCGACCCTTCATTCGACAAGGACATCCGCGATACTCACCTGGTTTATGACTACGATGCCTCGAACCCCAAGACCGGCGAGCGCGAAAAGTGGCGTCACGAATTGTGGTTCTTCAACGAAAACCGTATACACTATGCTATCCACGGTGGTCCGATGGCAGGCAGAATCAATTACCAGACCTGCAGCTACCAATGCATCCGCCCAGGCGAGCTCTGGCAATGCAACTGGGTTGAAGAGACGGGCACCATTTGCTCTCTCGTCTACGACATCAAGCTCAAGAAGATTTCGGCCCTTGTCGGATTCTCTCAGGGCCACTGGGAGAACGCGGAGGCCGCTCACGGCGACAAGCGTAACCCTGAGGACTTTGCTAGATGGAGGAAGCTGGCAGACATTGGTAACCAGCGAGCTCGCTTCATGGTTTCCGCGCAAGCTCACCTTGTCGAGATCTTCAAGGGCAAGGGCGATCTTATCCCCATTGAGGCCGACGCCCAGACGATTTAGAGGTAGGCGTTATTCGTTTTCCATTAGACCAATACAACGACTGATCATGCTATAGCTTGCGGAGTGTTCTCCGCATCGTATCACCAGTGTTTGATATTTGCAGCATTTTACAGCCTCATAGACATAGACATAGACGGGTAATTAAAATGGATTTATCTTAGAGCTTTGGCGGAGTGTATTATGTACTTTCCAATGCAGCCACCGCTTCTTCCCACGTGTCAGCGATGTTGTGCTTGTAGATCCAGACCATTGCTGCAACCCCATCTTTGATGATTTTGATTTTGCCTTGTCATCGTAAGTAGGATCGCTCATGCGTTTCAATGTGTCTGCCCGCTTCGAGCCCTCGCTGGCGAGATGGGCATACATCCGTGAGTAATAAGGTAGCCTTATTGCGTCGAACAAGGGTAGAGCCCTGGTCAGGTCACTGTTGAATTATTGCAGAGCTCGAGCAAGGACCCATCCGTCCTCCATCGCGAAACCAGCCCCCGAGCCAAAGGCGCCTGATAGAGTATCAGAGGCATCGCCTACAGGAACTATCTGATTATCCCATGCTGTCAGCTGTGACAACTCTGGCAAAAGCAGCGAATTCTCGCCAGTCACCATTTGTGACTGGCGAGAATCAATTGGTTCCTATCATCAAGCTCATCTACGAGCTTGATTTTCGGAACCCTGGCTCCGAAAATGACAGTGAGCGATCCAGGCTTGACTATTCGTGCGGCTGTGAGACATCGGCAAATTTGCGCATCTGGTAGTTTGTGGCAATACGAGGGTAGCCTCTCTGTATGAAGTCTTGACAAACTGCGACAATATCCATATCTGCGGTCGGGAGATACAAGCCTGAAGCAGACGAACCGAATGACTTGATTTGAACCTGGGGGAACTTTCACTGTATGGCACGTTGCATGCGCTGAATCAGGTTCAAGCGGACCTGCTCCTCGAAGTCTCGCGGTCTGAAATAGTCGTAGAAGTCGAGGATTTCCTCTTGAAGACTCGGCCAGCCTGTTGCTTCCTAGTTAAACCATGGGGTGGGGTCCGAGTTTCCATCATTCATTCATTCATTCATTCAATTCATGTATTTGTCCATCTTGGCATGTACATGGGTCCCAATTCTTCCAACTTATGATCTCCTGCATAACAATTGTCTTCATGAATGATGAATTGAATGAATGAATTGTCTTTAAATGATTTAGCACATGTAGATATGAATGTTCATGCGCTCAAACACAAAGATAAATAAATGAGTTTAAAAGCATTCAACTAGAACGAGTAGATAATTTCACTCTCTACACTGTTAAGGTCGTGCAGAGAATGAGCTTACTGGCCATATATATACACAAGAAATCTTTAATTTATCTATATAAGCCAGGAAGTTGTAGTCCAAGACTGCTTGATCATCATGGCCTGTCGTGGCCAGGTTGAATACACAGTGGGGCGAATAACCTTGTCCTGTTTTTATAAGTTCTAATCGCAAAACAATCCTTTCGATTCCAATTCAACTACAGCCAATTGATTCATAAACCGACCAATAATGCAAGATGTACCTGTGTGCGCGATTACAACGCGAGCATGCACAGTGGAAACCTTCTCGTGGCCACAATGCTTAACACTTTCTGCTTGTTTCTTCACAGAGATCCACCTTCACTTGTCGGATCTTCAGTGCTACTATTGTAAGATTGACATGTGCGCATCTTTATCGAAGTTTCCCTGGCATGACAGCGTGTAATAGTCATTCTTCACCAAGGATGATGTCACCGATGTCCTCCATGCTTCTCAAACAATACTGCTGCGCTTATCCACAACGTGATAAATGACATCTATTCACTTCTAACTAGTTCGCATAACCCTCCCACGGCCGAAGTCCGGGTGCTCACTCTGGTGTACATGGTTCCTACCCGTGCGCAGTCCGCTCTTCGCCACCCCCCTTTGCTCCGCTTCCCTCGCCTTGGCGCAAGAACGCTGGAGCTCGATTCGGTCCCTGCACTTCATGGAGAATCAACCCCACCTTGCTTTCCTTCCTCCCGCGCTCGCCCTCTTTCGCTCTCACACAGAAGACCCGGCACACCGCTGACCTCTCCTCCACCTGCTCTCAGTAACACGCACCGAGAGTCACAAGGTGATATCTCTGTCCCTAGCTTCCTCCTCCAGGCCTGCTAGCCATTGCTTGAACTACAGATCTTGCCAACATGGTCAAAAACCCCAAGTCTAATTTTACAATAACTCAAATTCCAAATTTTAGCTCTCATAAGGTTATAAAGATATGCGACCTCATTTTTGTGCTCACATAAGTGACGACCATGACGGGAAGATCCCTAAATCTCTAGCTCTGTAGGGTGTACCTCAAATTCTATACTGCTTGCGCTTGCTTCCAGACATTCGTGTGGGAAATACTTCACCATTCAAGGTTTCCAACTGCACTGAGTTGTTTGGAAATGACTCACGAACCAGATAGGGCCCTAACCACATTGCATCGAATTTTCCTGGAAAATCAAGCTTTCTAGCATCTTGGAGCATCACCATAATACCAAGCCTCAACGTACTTTTCTTGTGCTTCTTGTCAAAGGTGATCTTTCTCCTCCGTTGAATAGCCTCAATATGTTGAGCGCTCATTCTTCTCCTCTCATCAAGCTCCTCTAATGTCGCCAGCCTGTTCTTTAATGACTGACTGGTTGTAAGTCGTGACTGCACTACAACTCAGAGTGATTTCACCTCAAATTCAATGGGTAGAGTAGCTTCCAATCCGTACACTAATGAGAATGGCGTTGCCTGTGTCGTCACCTTGAAAGTTGTCCGGTAAGCCCATAATGCTGCTGTTAGTTTGGTGTCCCAATCCTTTTTTGAGTCTACCACCGATTTCCGAAGAATATTCACCAAAATCCCATTGACACGCTTTGTCTGACCATTGGTTTGTGGATGATAAGGAGTGGTTCTATCTGTGATCTATCTGGAATCTATCAGTCATTTCTTGAATTACATAATTCAAGAAATGCGTGTCTCTATCACTAACTAGAATCTTGGTACATCCAAATCAAGATATAATATTTTTATATATAAAGTTGGCAGCATGCACTGTATTAGTCTTGATTGCTTTGGCCTCCGCCCATTTGGTCAAGTACTCTGTGGCCATCACTATGTAGGCCATACCTTTAGAAGAGTGAGGGTGGATCTCCCCCACATAGTCGAGTCCCCATTTTTTGAAAGTAACAAGAGGCATTGAAACGTGCAAAGGCATCTTCATTCGAAGGTCATTTCTAGCATACCTTTTACAGGCATCACAGTGCTTCACATATTCATAAGAGTCCATAAACAAACTAGACCAGAAGTATCCAACTCTAAGTACTTTCAGACTTGTAAGTTGACCAGAGAAATGTCCCCCTCGAGCACTATCGTGGCAAGACTCCAAAATCGCAAGAATCTTCACCTCTGACACCTTCTCAAAATACCATCAGCTCCCCTCCTAAACAATCTATGACCAATCACTGCAAAATGTCTACTCTTAACTCGCACCTTTCTTCTCTCCTCGTTAGTCCAATCGCTTGACAACCGCTGGGTTGTCAAAAACTCCACAATACCAGCATACCATTCTGGCTGAGCTGTGACTACAAAAAGGTTCATGCAATATGATGTACTTGAATGCCTTGCCTGCAGTGTCGGATGCAAGTAGCTGGCTGAGCTGTCTAACTCTCTCTTAAGTTGGAGGAGGATAGTCTCTTCAAACATTGTCCTTTTCTCGAGCGTAGATTACGGTAGTGTTGTGATCTTCACAGGACGACTTCTTTACGTGCTTCCGTTTGGGTCTCAGCGAAAAGAACTGGAGTTGTGATGAACGTGCTTTCCAGAGCTACTGAAGTCCAACATCATCTGAGAATTTCACTCTATGCTCCCAAGGATACGCACTTCACGCCCATGATCGTACCTCCCGCGAGACGATCTATGATCCAACCCGGAGCCCATCCCACAGGGTCAGTATGAAAATCATTTAGCGCGCACAGAAGAAGTTTGAAAGGTCGATACTGTCAGTCAACGTCTAAAGCCCGTGCAATCGAATTTGGAGCGATGGCCATTTTCGATCCTCCCTCCATGCCTTGTGAGGAACATTCGGGAGGAAGCATGACCGCATTCTGTGCTCTGTAGCAAACGGGTCATGATGGTGAAATCTGAGACTCCAAGTCGAGTGTGGCATCGCGTGTCAGTACAACCCAACCCCCTCTCTCTCTCTCTGTCTGCGTTTCGGCACGGGAAAGAATGACGGACTCGGTCGATCTAGTCTTTTCATACGATGTGGACTTCAGTCAGCAGATCCGATCACACAGCGGAGCAGAACCTGACGTGGTCGGTAAAGATGGATGTGAAGGCACGCAGAGCAATGGCGACGTGGCGAAACAAGGCCGAATGTATTCGGGTCTCGGCCCATTCCGAGTCGAGATGGCTTGGAAGTCACTAGTGCTCCTCTTCGCCTGTTGTTTGGGAGCTGGACGGCGATAATTTTAACTGGGCTCAAGAGCGAGCAGACTTAGTGCGTTGTGTCGGGGTCAGATCTGGTCACGTTTCGTCAGATGTTGAACATCATTACTCATTTCAAGTGAGTAGTGGGCTCCATTTTAATCACAAATGAGTCATTTGTTATAGATACGGGGACAGCCCCGATATCATTGGTGCAACCTTGTCACTGACATCCTCAGCAGCCTCCCTCTCCCCTACCTGCTCATCTCCAATTTCTACGTACTACTCTAGTTCTGCGAACAAGGTACATAAGTTTACACACATTCCATCCTCATGGATACACAGTTGACAATATAGGTGATCGAGATACGAATTTCAATCTTGAACTGCTCACAACTTACTTTGCACCCGGTAAATCTTATTAAGAACTCCAGGTATAAGTTACTAATTTGATTTTACAAAATTCAGTGTTTGACCGATTTCCTGGCCACAGAGCTCCATTCATGGATCAGCACAAAACAAGACTTTAGGAGTTCTTTATCATTTTGTTGTTGTTCTTCGTAGAGCAAGCATTTCTTACCTGCTTGCCAAGTGTGTTGCGTTTCTTCTCGAGATTACCTCATGCACACTTACCTGTACGGCTGGAGATGCACGAGTACCATATATTGGTATGTCTCCTAGCCTTCTCGCCTTGAATGGACGTGCTATCACGAATTTCATGTTGGGTCACCGTACATGAGTCCATCTAGGGGTTGGGCACAGTCTCATGGCGTCCACACCTGCCCTTCCCTTCTCGTGAAGGAAAGAGCTTTCCAGGAGTTTGGAGATGTATTCACCGTCGGAAGCCCTCTCGTCAACCACATTGCTCACATCGTCGCAAAAGTCTCCTCTTCCTTCCATCCCCAAGCTAGATGTGGTTGGACATGGATCTGTTATCGATTGTTGTCAATCCTTCGGATAATCACGATAAATCTTACTCGTGTCTGTCATTCCTCACATTCAAGATCCAGTCGAACATCTCTTAAAAGTGTTAAGTAAATAGAATCAATGCAGAGAATGACATCTTAGATCCCTACGACGGTTTTCTGTAATATTAACGTCATACCGCACCAAATATATTCGATCCGGAAAGAGAAAATAATCCATTAATATTCGGAAAACATTCAATACAGCATCAACTTTTGGTTTCTGGAAGTCGGGAAACAAAGTGCCATTCTTTCTCTTAAGTTGTTCTGGGTAGAAGTGAGAGGAGGGGGAGGATGGAAATGTGGACAATTTTTCAGAATGGAGGGGCTCCGATTTGAGTTCGAGGCAGCCTTGACACCCATTGGAAGACTTTCAGCCCTCATCATCGAGATATCATGTGGGATGTGTCGTAGTGGAGCCACGAGGGGATTTCCAAATAGCTGACCCAATTGTGAAACCTATGCCTGGCCCCATATCCTTCTTCTAACTGTGCTAATGGAGAGAGGAGCACATAATCCATGGGTTTATACTCCACTGGCCATTGAAGGTCATGGTCGCGTGAAATTGCCGGCATCCGCTGCCCTGCCCACGAAAACAGAAGACGGTCGTAGCATTAGCATCGTCCTAGAGAAGAGAAGAGAAGTGAAGTGAAGTGATGAGGGTCGTCCCGTCCCATCAAATGATCGGAATTACTCTCTAGATACTTAGCGTAGATCTCCTTAAGTGTCGCGTATGAGCATCGAGTGGTTTTTGAGAATTTGGAATCAGACTACGAATGCAGGACTTTAGAATTTCTAGGTCCTATCTTATCCAACATATGATTTAGGTTTCGCCTCGTCGCCATCTTCGCCTTATTCTATTCTTCTCGACACCTGTCAGACGAATCGACAGACTGCATCGAGAGGGAACATGGCGAGGGCCCGATGGAGAAGGAAGAGACGAACTTACGAGTCGGACGGAGCAGGAACAAAATCGGAGATCGAGTGCAATCGGAAGTGTACCAGAACACCGTCGGGTGCTGTTATTCTTTGTTATCCGCAGGCTTGCTATGAATCGAGTGGATCAACCGTTTCTCAGGGCTCCGTCACACTTCTTCAGACAAGTTGTCCGCGACCAGAACGAGATGGAGTGTGGTGGGACCGGGCAGGAGTGGGACACGGGCTTGCGTGACTGCCACATGGCCGGCTAATAGCCTCGCGAGTACTGGAGGGAGGATTGCTTGCTTGAACTCACTCGAACTGACGAATGAATTCAGCTCTCTCGGAGCGAAGGACAGTGAGCTGAGCTGAGTTGATCGAAAGGGGAGACAGAGACAGAGACACAGAGAAAGAGAGCGAGGAAAAGCCATGGCGTCTGCATTGTCCTCGCGGGTGGCTATCCCCTCTGTCTTCGTCGCCAAGAAATCAGCTCAATCGTCGACGAGCGCCAGGAGGAGTGTGGCAGTGTCTTGTGAGCAGCGTTCGTCCTCCGGCTGTGTCACCTGCCAAGTTTCCGAGGAGAAATGGGTGTCCACGAGACGAGACATCGTGGGAGGTGCAGCAGCGTTGCTGTCTGGTCTGCTCGCCGCGCCCGCATTCGCCCTTCTTGAAGCCGACGATGATGATTCTCTTCTGGAGAAAGTGAAGGAGGACAGGCAAAAGCGTCTCCAAAAGCGTGGCGCCGTTGTCTCGTACAAGAAAGAAGCAGGTACTCGACACCTCTAGCCAGATCATTAAAACTTTCCAATGTCCGAATCCTGCGCATCGAGCGATGCACACGAGGAAAGTCTCCTCTCGCAGCGGCCCTTGCGTTGTATCGTGTGTTGGCTTTCTTATATCCCGAATCCATTTGAAATTTCGAGAAAATGTGGCCACTGCCAGTGTCGAAGGCAAAGGCATGTCTACTCGAATGGAAAGCTTTCAATGTCCGAAGTCAGGTGTATGCAACATGACCGACTGTGGTAGTCAATTGGACAAGTTCTGAAACAAACTGCGAAGCCGGCACGAGCAAAATGGTCCATAGTTCCGATTATATGTTTGTTGGATGAAAGCGCCATGTCTGGAATTCTGGCTGTCCGGATTTTTATGGGATTGGTTTCTGGCGTTTCGCTTACAATGCCGAGGTTCTGCTTTGGTATCGGCAGCTGGCACAAAACTTGCTGAATTCCTTCACCAGTTTATGTATCGACTGTCTTTTCTAAACCAGGGCCTGATGGTTTGCCGCCAAATGTGCAGAATCGATCCAAAAAGCCGTATATGAGCTGAGCAAGGCCGGACAGGCGCTTGACTCCTCGGATTTCTCCACAGCATCTGCTGTATTGGGGTCTAATACGTGGATCGTCGATGTTAAAGCTGCTCTGTCAACGGTGAGGCCTCTCGGAATTCAATCTCAGATTCGGGTTATCGCTCGTTGTTCTCGTCAAGGTTATCTGAAAAGAACACTTGGATTCGGAAGAGTTTTAGACATCTTGTACGTGGAATAGTTCATTCTGTTATTGTCAAAACGGGTCAAATGGTTTGATAGTACGGATAATGTTATTCTGCAACTGCGAGGACACTTCCGATTTGTGTTTTACATCGCTCGGAGAAGCTTCACTGCTATATGCACTTTTGGCCTACGGCAGCAATGTATGACTTCAATTCGCAGGGCGCTTAATTTGGACTGATGATTGAAATATGCTGAACAACCTCTTTTACTTTTCATTGGTTCTGCAGGTGAGCAAAAGCGCTGAAGAACAAAGCGAAGCTGACTCCTTTGGCACCGCTCTTGCATCACTGCAAACAGCCGGTACGAAAATCTTACAATCACTCCCATGCAATCTACTGCTTTCCCGTGCAGGTCTGATGTACATCGTTTGCCCAATTTGTCTACCACCACATTCTTTAGCTGTAGCTTTCGAGATAGCGATTGTAGACATGTAAATTTGTTGTTTGTTCAGCTGAGTGTCGTTTGCTTAAGAAAACCCCGTCGTTATTTGTTGACTTTCTTAGTTGAAAAATGTGTGCATCTTGCAGTGTCCGCAAAAGATACAGAGGGGTCGAAATCCGCATTCGTGGCATCAGCTAGTGCTCTTGAGAAATGGTCATCCTTGACTGGTTTTTCAGAGCAAATCAAGGGCTTGTGATTTCTTATTTGCCGATATTTTTCCTCTCAACATCGCACTGTTATGGTTTCCTTCAATTTTTTCTTCTGTATCACAATCGGGCTCGATGCGTGTGAAGAAGTAAAGAAAGAAAATTTTTAATCTCAGTGATCCTTTTTCTGGGTGGATTCGAGATGCCATTGAAATAAGAGAATATTTGATTTTCATTTGACTCAAAGTGGTGCGAAGCCTTCAGGCGGATGGGGGCTATATGGTGTTTTCTCATCCTTCTCTTTTATCTACTCTTTTCTCATCCACAATTATATATCACTCAAATGATGCCAATCGGAATAAGCAGTAAGTATCAACTGCGGGTGAGAAGTCTTGCGGCTAGGGCATACACTCCTCTGTGGTGTTTCAACAAGAAACTGCAGCCTCATTCTTTCTGTGTGCTCCCATCACGTCTCTCGTGGATGATTAAACAGATGAGACGTCCTTTTTTCATCCTTAACACATGGATACATCACAACCTCATGCCACGAACAGTACCGAAGTACCGATGTACCGATGGGCTGATGTAATGGATGCCCAAAGAATAGTGTTCGTGTTCTGTTCAGGAGAAAATGCCACGAATTTCATCGGAGGTTCCACATGCTCCATTCTTCCTCGCGTCAATCATGATTTTGTATGAGCCAGCACGTCCAGCGTGCTACCATGTCCGGCACCGATTACAATCTATTCAACGAAAGGTTCTCCGTAGGACGTTGCCTCAAAGAGTCACTGACTGTCCGAGAGAACAATTACTCACGAAGTCATCATTCCGTCGAGACACGCTCACTTTTTTTCTACCGATGGATGACGGATCTCTATCCACGACGATGGATCTCTATCTATCGTCGTAGAAACCAGGCTTGTGTCTAGACTAAATGATCAAGAGATCATTTACGGTCCGTAATGAATGATGTAATCGTAAATGAAATCTACAGCCAAGAGGATTGGGAGACCCCATCGAGGCCTAGAAGGACGAAACCGAGGGAGTGAGATTGGTACCTATCAACCTTCGTCTTCCATCTCTCAGTGCGTTCCAGTTCTCAGACTTTCTCTCACAATCTCACGTCATCTGCACGTTTCTTTCACGCTCAGCTTGCTGTCGACTACGTCCAACTCCTATCGCACTATGAGCATCGATGTGATTATCAGCAGACTGGATCCAAGTAGCTTACAATGTGTTGACAGGTCTAAATGTTTGGTCACTACTTTGCCAACCTTCAGATCACAAAGGAATGTTTTTAGCAGTCATGAGGTACTCTGAATACATTATTTATTTTCTATCTGCTTATTTCATACACAGTCATATCATAATCTCCATTGCTGATACGAAACGTGTCATATGTCAAGCAGTAATGCATGACCGCATTTCGAGTGCAGAATTGTTCCATAACCGACAGTGATCTTGTCTTACAGAACAGGCGAGAATGGACGACATCTCAAAGCCATTTTCTTCCTTCTTCTGCATCGATAGTACATTTGATTTTTTGTTGACATCCGCTTGTGAACTTCGATCACTTTCTGCTGGAAGATACAGAACTGCACGACTCTATTGCAAGAGAAATATACCACCGACAAATTTATGGAAAAGCCATCGTTCATCGGTAAGAAGGACTGCCAGAGTACTTAGATTATGGATGTACATACATATGAATCTATCATCGAACGAGTGTTGACTTATCAGCCATGCGAAAAGAAAGTGGTGTCCTCAGATATAAGAATGATCTGACTCTACTTTCGATCTTCGGCCGAAAGCGAAACGAATCCCCTGAAGGAGCATGAGAAATCATCGAGGAATGCGTTTGGAATCGCCAGGAAATGCATTCACCAGGCAAGCAGGACTCGGGCCAGCGATCGAAATTCAGCTTCAGATGGTCGCTTGAGTGACAACGTGAGCGGTTTGGTCGATGTGTTTCTCGTCCACGGAGCGTTTGTAATTGAAGGAGTCCTTGTAGAGGACGAAGCTTTGCTCGATGATGGGATATGGAGTTGCCGTGTACAAGTGGAAAGTGGAGTAGCCCCGAGCGCCGCGGAAATCGCCCGTGCCACCGACAACAGAGATTTCACGGTCTCCGTGACCGATTTCCGTGCCCTGGACCTGCAGGGTGCCCTGGTACTTGGGGTGATGCTCGAAGATGACAGTGAACAGAAGATAGAAGTTCTCGCCTGCGAAATTGTCCATGATGGCCATGCCTTCGCGTCTTCCTATAAGCTTGGACGCCAAGTCAGGTCCCTCCGTGACATCGTTGTCGTAGATCAGCGTGCTTCCGAACGCCAGCTTGCTCATGTCGTGCGTGTCTTTGCCTGGCCCGGCGACGATTGCCACCTCGTTCGTGCAGTGGACGAAGAATGTCAGCGATTCTGTGTTGCCACCATCTTCTGAATGCTTACCCACGTTGTGGATTATGGCCCACATCAATAGCAATACTAGACCTATTCCTGAAACCCAAGAGATCCATTTGCGCCACGCCACATTTGGGATCATTTTGGCCCGGCCCCCTTCTCTCCCAGCCACGAAAGTTTATCGATCTATCGATCTGCCTGCCGACCCGAGTGGACTTTTTAATTTGGCTCCGCAAGCACTTGAGATAAAGCGATCGCAGGCTAAGATTCAATCACTGAGCTAGAATGTCGATGGATGGAAGCCCGGACAGGCTGACAGATTGCCTGCGACGACCTCGATCTGTGTGAAGCTCGAGCTCCACAGATTGAGACCTTCGCGCCCACATCAGCTGTGGCATCGGACCGCGTTTCTTCAAACTTATAAGCCTGGGCTGGGCTGGGCTGGGCTGGGCTGGGCTGTTTCCTCGGGGCATGAGTCTGACCTCTGTACCAGGTCTCTATATCAGGCTTGTTTTCAATAGTATAAAAACTAACGACGGATTTCGTGAGTCTAAGAATCTGTACACTCGATTCTCGCTCAGCAGTCGATTCTATCGTGAATTACAGTATCTTACGATTGAAACTGCTGTACGAAACCTTCAGAACAGTGCTGAGCACGCTTTGCAGTTGCCATCTTTCCTGCGAGCTGAGAATCGAATTTCCTGAAGACTTGCTACTTCGTCGACGAATTGATGTCCAGTGTATGCACAATGTGTGAGAAGTAACTGAGAGGAGAAAGTCCACAGTTGGCACTTGGAGGGCCGATATCAACTCCAGATCTAAATTCATGACTTCAGCCAATCTTCGAAATCAGATTTTCAGCCTTCTCCAGAGAGAATTGTGGATAACACTCAGAAAGAAGACCAGCACTTTCATTCATTTAAAATAGATAGCAGAGCTTGATTCTCACAACTGCTTTGAAAGTGAACCAGAGTCATAGAGAAGTACAAGTCAGCGAACTGCAAACCACTTTGAACATGTTTCAACAGCTAGTTTCGACACAAATCAATTTAAAGCCATTTGATTCTATTAGAAATAATCATTTTAACTTGTCAGATGTGTGCACAAGCGCGCAACTGTCATGATCAGTCTATGGCAAGTTGCATAGCGGAATCAAGTGATGAAGTGTGCCTATTCAACTCCAGTGGAAGCAGAAGAATCAGACCCCATTTACGTTTGTCCTTTAATAAGATGTACATTGCTCCACTTTACTTTACTATACGTTTAGGCAAAGTATGAGTGTACGGTATTTTTTGTAGTTGTGTGCAATTATTTGTTAAATCATTATTATTATTTATACATGTGAATTGATTATAATAAGAAAATCTTGAACTTGCATCGAGGAGAGTTTGCATGCATTAAGCTCTGAACAGATCGAGCACATATTTGCATGGTAAAATTCAACGGTGTACTTCGCATACCAGCCCATTGATACGTATGTATACAGCAAACCTGATGTACTAGTTATTGAATGCAAAAACTATGATCCGAATTCAGCTGAACACCGATGGCATGATCTCCTTAAATTATGATCGCGAGCAGTTGATGTCGCAGGTTTGTTCTACATCTTGGTGTTGTCTTTGTACCTGGCTTGTCGCAAACAAATGATTTCCAATCATTTAGAACAAAAGAAGAGTTCAAAATAAGAAGAATGAAATATTTAATATCTATTCAACGAAGAGAACTGAACTCACTGCGCAACATGCTCAGAATTGCATCCACTGTGCCGATTTGTGGGTCCAGGTTTGATCCACGTCACAGGGTCACACAAAAATGCATGTCCACGAGGGCTTATCCTATTCGAATGGCCCGCGCTGACTATTTCCAGCCATGTGTGAATCTTCTCGTTACCTGATCACTGTGATCTCGAAGTGCTCGTCACAAGATTCTGTTTGATGTGGCCTTGCCATTTGGTCTCGGAAAACGAAGACGAAGGTAACGACATGAACTTGCAGTCAGTCAATTAGCCGTATTATTCCATGCCAATGTGCTTAACACTGCCTGCCGTCAACGAGTGCAATGTGACTCATAGTAGCTAAAGCCAAGGCTTTACTTCGATCAAGCTCTGTCGATCTGGATCCAGACTTTCCAAGGCACTCCTGGCTCACCGATAAGGCAGTGGCACCACCTACACTGATCATCATCTTGATACATAAACTTTTTTCGTAGCCATGCACTGCAACAAACTCGATGTCATGTACCGTTGCTCTGGTTCTTGCTTCAATTTGCAGGAGGGTGATGGTTTTGTGTTTCTTCAGGGGCTGTTTCATTTTTACATCAATGACAGCGCGTACAAGATGGTGGGGCATGTATATAAAACACCACAAATTCTGACCCTGTGCGGCCACCTAAGCTCTTTGTCAATAGAGCTCGAAATGAATGAATGTTTGACGGGAAATCTCACATACCTGTCGCCGGCAGCTATCGTACTTGACATCGAGAAAGCTGCGGAACTTCTGCCTTGAAACGATATCATGTTCTGCTCTGACATGGACCTCAGAGCACGTGATTAACGCATGCAAACGTGTTTGAGAATCTCGGCCAGAAAATGCGACCCCAGGCTCGAATTTTGTTCTACTCGTCGGCTTTAGCTGGATCATCAGATGTGTGACTTCAAATGCAATATTACAAACATGTGGTCAGCATCCCTTCAGATGTAGCTCACAATCTCTTATGACGGATACCCACAGTATTCTGTCAGCGACACCATTCTTCGACACTTCGGCAACGGCAGATGTCATTTGCACTCGGGGTTGGGATCGACGTCTACATCTGGACATTCTCCTGCTCGTCCGAATTTCCTAATAATTGGCTCTCGAAGCAATTTACTGGAGTCTGAGTACATGTATCTTCGAAACAATATTCACGCGTCCGCCATGCCATCACAGATCTGTCTGCTAAACGGCACTCCAGTACAAACGGGCCAAACTGTAGATCCACGGATAATACCGTCAACTCGAGCGTCCAATTCGCTGGACTCAAGTGACCACACCATTGTCAGTAGATCTGGAGTACACCGTGCAATTCGCGCGGACATGATTTGGAGTATGAGCTTTGTCCCGTGAGTAAGATGGCACAAAGGATGAGTTGGCTCCATGAGCCCACGTCCTCCATGGAAGACACAATCGGTAGGATGGTGTGGTTCTCCAACAGCATCACAAATATACTATGACTCGTAAGATATTTCATCTATCTACATTTTATTAGGGTGTACTAAGAATCATCATGTGCCAGGATTGCATTATTTAGTTATCTATCTGATGGTTTGAAGTTTTGTATCGAAGCATTTGCTATTCATGAAAACATGCATCGTCAAAGTATTATCCCTATCGTGGAATCTCATATCTCCTCCACTACTCAAGCACTTCTGTCTTGGTAATAATCAGCAACAGATTTTCATTCAAAAATGTATCAAAGCAACATTGGAATGATTTTATGATTCTGATATTTTCACTCACAAACTGCTCACACTACTTTTGAGAAAGATAAATCATTGTAATGAAAGTTGCTATTGACAGGAAAACTAAAACAGTTGATAGAACCCAACAAGTTTTATTTTACCCAATGGTATCCCGTAGACCTACCTGCAGCCCAGAGTTAGTGATGTTACAATGCGATCTGGTGTTACTTCAGATAGGAAGATGAAGTATCGGCAAAACCACATCGGGAGTACTTCATACTCATGATGGTGGTCATCGCTTTCTAAAACATGCCTACTAAATACGAACTCATGCTGCAAGTGGCATTTGACCTAATTGATCGGAGCCAGGATTCCACTCTTTGATTCATTCGGATTTTGAAAATAGAAAGCTAGACCTATCTAGGTTTCTAACCATGTCCTTACTCGAGAATTTCGGTCACGGGACCGAAATTCTTGAGTAAGAACACCTACGGGCTAATTGATCCATTAATAGAAACGAAGAATGAACAAAAGGAAGTCTATATGTATAATTCTTCTTTTGCATCTAGTCTTGTGTTTAAGCGGAGCTTGCAGTAGTATATGAATGTTCGATGGTTGCACCGGTGCTATAAATGACAGGCGAATGAACATGGTCAAAAGATTGCTACTACTCTCGTTGTTTAGAATAACTTTTATTGGAATAAGATTTACGGTGGGTTGTATGGCCGTCGAGTGGAGTAGAGTTACATCGGGTAAAATGAAAACTCTCGGGTCCCATCCCATCAGTTTTGAGTTTACCAAGGGGTCCCATCCAATAATTTCCTCGCCGAATTCCATAATATCATTGAAGATCAATCCAATAAAAATTTGCATCATCTCCATATGAGCATAAGTTACTGCAAAAATTGTATTTATCATCATGTATCTGTTTTACAATACATCGTATATCTATGTTTTATAATGTGAATAACAAGTCTCATTCAATTTGATTTGGCTGAAAAAGAATCATTACACATACCATTGGATTTTCATAGTTGAAGATTAAATTTTAACTTGGCGAGAAATACATTTTGTTGAAACATTAATGATCAGTTTACTTTTTCCACTGGAGTATTATATTTGGAGATGATATTTTCTACCAAACACACTCTTTTCATATCCAGAATTGTGTTTGTAATCATTTTAGGCCATCAAATTATAAAAAAATGTAGTTGAAATGTAATTAAATAATCAAGATGATATATCTTTTAAAAGTAGAAATATCAAATCTTATCTTATCAAATCTTGCACAAATTTCATAAAAAATATTCAGAATACTAATTTCTTTGAAGCTTTAATGTAATCTAAAATCATGCTTACATATAATATATCATTAATTTCTTTTAACATTCATTAAAAAAATTGGCATTTATGTCTCCTTTAATTCTTAGCTTGTTTTGCAACTCAATCAATATTATTCTTGTGATATCTTCATGCATCATGATGAATCATCATTTAGCTCATCAATGTAATCAAATGTTGTGTTGAAAAATTAAACAAGCTTAGTTATAAAAGATTTTGAATTGTAAAATTAAAATTAGTTTAAATGAATCAAAGTGTTGAATATATTAATTTTAGCCATGGAAAAATTGGTTAAATTATAACTAAGTTTAGCAGATTATTTCTTACTTAAAGAAATAAATCGTTATGAAAAATAAATTATTTTAATATTAAAAAATAAATTTTAAAGTTCATATTTTACATAGATTTTGTTCAATTTGATATTTTATTGACTTAATGAAAGTTTATTCATTATTTTCTTTGATTTGATATATCAACTAAAAAATTGAAAATCTGAAATTCTTAATATTTTTAACATTAAAAATTTGAAATTAGGACTATATAGATTTTAGTATATCTTAATAAATATCATAATAGTATTTTGAAATAATTTTTTAACAAAAAAGTGTATTATTAAGATGAAACTTAATATAAAAAATTTCTGTAAAAATTTTATTTATTAAAAAAAATATTTTTTTAAAAAATGAAATAATAAATAAGTAGAATTTTAGTTTTTTATTTGAAAAAATTAATAAAAAATTATATATATAATTTCAATAAAAAATTAATCTTCAAATGGTTTTAAATTCCATTTGAAATATTTAAAAAAAAATTCAACAAATATTTATAATAATATTTATTGAAAATTCTATGCAAATTCAATACCAAAATTTAAAAAAATTTAATCAAAAACTAGTTTTATGAATTTAGATGATATGAAAAATCTGGAATTTTTCTTGTAAATGAATTTATTTTAAAAAAAACTATAAATAAAAATTATGTGCAATTGTTGATTCAAATCTAGATTATAAATCAAACATTAGACATCGATTATAAACTAGTAGTTATTTCATGAGTAAAACTATAACAATATATGATATAATATTTGATCGTCTAGTTCAAAAAATCAATATATGAAATTTAAGATGATAATTGTAAAACATTTATCTTGAAAAAAAATCATATATATATATATATCAATAAATTTAATTGAGATTTTACTTCCTCGGAAAATGGTCCCTCCCTTGATGGGCGGATTAGAAATTTCTGATCGCACAAAGGGTTCGGAATCTTGGCGTTTGATTAGTACTCCTGCCGTCCAAGCAACTTTCATGAATTAATTTTGACTCAAATCTTTTACGGTATATATCCATCAAATTTTGATTGACAATTGAAATTTTAATGCTTTGCACATTATATTATTTAAGATTTTCAAAATCACACAAAGATGCACATGGACACAATTAAAATATTTTACACGAATGATAGATATTGGATGACAGAATTCGGACCCAGTTTGTCATCCGGTCTGGGCGCATCGTGTGAACCATGGTCGTCAACCATCATCATACTACTAACAACTACTCATTTGTTGATTTTTACTCTCTCTTACTACTCTAAACAATTCCTGAACTATTAATCTTCTTCCGCAATCATTGTGTATCATTACATCGTTAGCCATATGACTTGATGAATAATCATCTTTAAATTCAACACTATTCGAAGATTGGACACAACAATGCTCAAAGCACTAACACGTGGCGTGTATTGGACGTGTAGTGCTGTGGTATTGAATCTCGAGTTCATAACTAACAGAGTCACAAGTGCAAGACGTCACATAGGCGCGGGTAGCATGCTTGGGCAATACATGCAAACAGTTGTATCATGATGATGTATTATTGATATTGACTTTATCTAACCCTTTTGGAGATATTGAGTTGCAGAGATTTGCATAACAGTAGTTTTGATAGAATCTTGAGTTGACATATTAAATGAACCTCAAATGCACAACGTCACGTAGGCGCGGGTAGCATGTTAGGTTACATTGCGCAAGCTGGCAACAGTATGTTAAACTATAAGCAAAACTAATTTTTCATAAAATTTATTACTACATTAAAAAAATGAAATAAAAGTAATTTGATATACAAATCTTGAAGATGAATTATATTTATCATAAATAGATATATATATATATAAGTAAATTATTACATTATTAATCAATTCCAACTATCAAACACATATTTTTTTAACATATCAAACATAATCAAATCACTATAAGTCAATTATATTTTTTTCTTAAAAATCCAAAATTTTAGTTCTAATCTACTAAAGATTATTAAATTTGCTTCATGAAATTGATTCATATTTTAATTATGCTAATATATTATGGTAATGTGTATATTTTTGTTAATTTTAAAAAATTTAATAATAAAAAATCATTTGGCAATTTAAATATTTTGTTTTTTTATTTAGTCTTTAAGTTATATTTATTCACAAAATAATGATAAATATTATCTGGTATTATAAACAATGTGATGTTCTTGTTCAAAGAATTGAGAGCTAATTTTTAAATTTGAAAAATCTACAAAAAATTTAAACCTTTAGGTTACATATACATTGATTTTTTTTAATTAATTTAATTATCTTGGGATCAGATTTTTTTTTCTTTTTTATCAACAAAAATGTTCTAGGTAGTTGATAATTTTAGTCTATATTTATTAAAAAAATATTTGGAAATATTTGGAAAAAATCATATGTATGTTTGATTAAATTTGCTCTCACTAAATATTCATAACTTAAAATTTTAAATATTTGCTCATTTTATCATAACTTTGTAATATGTTAAAAATCAACGTATTAAAAATATTGAAATTTCCTTAAAGTAAAGTAATGATTTTTTCATAAAAAGATTTCATCAAATTATACTATGTGTATTATATATGATGCTTATAAATATATACAAGGAAAAAAAACATTTTTTTTAATTTGTCTGTATTTTGTATTTAGTTTATGTCTTTATTTTGTATCATGTTCATTATCTATATTGTTATAACAATAACAGTGCTAATCATGATGTGCAAATTTTAGTATTTAAGCTTGTTAATATTTATTTATAAATAAAAAATTTTTATTACATTCATGATTATCAATATCTAATGTATGTTATTGTCTTTGTTTTATTTTATTTTGCTATTTATTATATAAATATCTAACTCCTACACGATTACTAATGCAAAAATCATACGATTTAATATAAAAATAATTTTTTAATGGATAATTTTTAGATCATCAATCAATTTTTGATATAAAAAATTATTGAAGAAAATTATTTTTCATTATTATTTGATGTTGTAATAAATTTTTCATTTCCATCTTTGATCCAAAATCAATGTTATATCAATAAATCTAGATTACGAGTTAAATCAATGAAGATATATTTCATCATATATGATTCTTGCCATTAATATTTGTATCATAACATCTTATTTTACAAATTTTCCAATCTTTATTCAATAAATATCTTCAAATTCATTCAAATTTACTTTGCAAAATAATTATAAGTTAGATAATTACATGATGATTACACATTACATTTTTTATGTTCATGATTATGTGATCATTTGTAATTGTTCAAAAAATCAGGGCTGCATGACTTTTGATGTTTAGTGATGTTTAATTAATATTTTGGAAACTTATTCAAAAAGTGTTTGATAAAAATTCATAAATTTTCTTAAATTTCAAAAATTGAAATTTTTTTATATTCCAGATAAATTTAGCATGAAAAATGATTGATTACATTTTATTATATTTTCAAATTACAATCAGTATCAAATTTGTGAATTTTTTCAAATATTCATTTTCTCTTTGAATATTTCCCATTTTTATATAATTATTAGGATAAAATTAAATTTTTTATATTTTGTCCATAAATTTAATAAAAATTTACTTACGGCTAATAATGTGAATTAAAACACAAGTAAATTTTGATTATTTGAAATTTCAATCAAGCATAAATAATTTTTTTAAAATTTATGGTTATAAATTTTGTTTAAAAAATTATATTAAGTATTATATATATATATATATACTTACTATTTTTGAATTATATAATTAGAGCTCAAACACTTTGAATCCATAAGTAAAAGTTTGAAATAACTAATAACGTTTATAGAAACTTGTTAAGTAATCATATCATACTAAGCAATCAACATAAAACAAATCTCTAACTGCAACTTCGTATGTACGTTTGCTGCAAATAATAGTCACATGAAACCATAAAGAATGATGGGATGCAAGTAGTACCGGCCTACGTGGAACGCAAGAAGGAGCGAACTTGGCACATAATCAACCAGCAACTACGTGTACGAGCCCCGGTCAGTATCGCACGAAACATACGCAGGCCTCTCTATATAGGGCGGATTCCGTATGTTCCGTATCTCAACAAAATAAGGATAATTTTCAAATCGAAATACGGAACATAAGGAACTCTACAGTTTTCGGCCGAATTTTGACCTAAAATTCCAAGTTTTCGGCCGAATTTTTCGGCAATGTAATACAACCTCGAGAGAAATGGGTGTTATCTTTGATCTCTAAATATATTTTCCCATTTTAGCAAGGAGAAATCACTCTTCACACCGTTGAAGTGTTTGGATATGGTGAAACTAATACTACGAAAAACTCCATGTTGAAGGAATCTATTTTTAAAACCTGGAATCAAACTTTTCAGTCAATAGCTAGAACATCGACTTCGTGATGTTCTGGGTTCACTATTTTATCTTTGTATTTTTTTTTTCGAGAAATTTTGAGACTTATTTGATATTTTAGAATAATTGAATAAATTTTTGTGTTTTCAAAATTACAAGTGAATGAGATAACCAAGGAAACAAAATATGAGAACTTGGTTGAGCTCATCAGGTGTCACCGCAAAATTTTAGTCAAGTACTCAATTAGTTTCTCTAGTAAAGTAACGGTAATGAACAAAGAAATTGCCAGAAACGATCACGGCAAAGATTTAGCTGAATATTTGCGTAAGTTTCTCTAGTAAAACTACCTACATCAACAAAGATTTGTCAAAAATTACCACCCCAAATTTTAGTTACGTGACTCTGGTAGGTTCTACAGCTAGACAACAAATACTTTTGGTTGGAAATAAGGAACTTTCTGAAAACGAAATACGGCACTTTGGCCCTCAAGTTCCGTATATGCCGTATTTAGAGAGGCCTGAACATACGTGGCTTGGAACTCCAACAGAATTGGGATCACAACTCGCACACGAAGATGCAAGTCGAGGGAATGCGTGCGAGTGTTGTCAAATGGCGATGAAGCCCCAAGTGGAGATTGTGCATAACCCATTCATTTATGTCCATCACGCGAACCTGTCAGATTCGGACGACGTGATTTTACTTTTCTCCGACAACCGGGAAATTTGTCCGAGAATCCGTGGTAAAATGTAAAGGCCCTCTTGGCTGATGCCACCCATCATCGACTGCATTGGATTTGGAATCACGCAGATTTGGGATCCGTCTATACGGTGTCATGATGCAGTTCGATGCCTCCCACAATAGACGGGATAAAAATCTCACATTGCTTCTACGGCAAAGATGGAGACTACATGTACACTCCGCCGCATACTAAGAGGCTCGCAGGGAGACACAAAGATGATTATGTGCGGCCTGGATAAGGAGAGCTTGCTCTGGAGGGGAGGGGAGAGGAGAGGGGAGGGGAGAGTCAACGCAAAATCTGCGGGTGTGAAGTTTGAAGGGAGGCGAGCAAGCAAAGAAGACAACTGTACAAATAGATCTCTCGCGGGGTACTGTTTGTTCAGAGCAGCACCTTCATCCACCTCTGGCTCACAATCTGCGCAAGCCTGCTTGCTCGCAGCTTGCCCTTGACTGCCAGCCTGCCAGCCTGCCTACCACATACATGCACCTCATTCGTCTTTAACGGTGAGGGTGGAGCACAAGTGGCTAGCAAGGAAGGCATTTATTAGGGCTGGGGGTTTAATTATCGGAGCAAGGAGGTCACGGAAAGCGCTGACCTTTAAGTACTAAAAGGAGAAAATGGGAGAATTATGGGTTCGGATTGGTGCAGGTTTGCAATATGTGGGGGGAACGGAGTAGGAAAAGGGGTTTGCCGATGGGAATCAATGGCGGAATCTTTTGTGAACAGGAATATTGCAGAGATGGAGAGCTTTTGTCCGTCTCTGAGCAGAGCAGAGATGGTGGCCAAGGGAGGGGAGGTGGGATGAGGGGAGAACTACTGAAAGAGGCTGGTCGCTATTGCTATTCGAATGTTGGGTGTGCAATTTGTCGCTCAGGGATAAGGAACCGGACACCTGGCCCTGCGAGCTGCCGAGCTTCACCGTTCGAAGCGAGGGACCGCAAGAGACAGACGGGCCGGGCAACTGGATTGGATTGCAATTTCTCGTCTCCGTGCCCTCTCCGGATCCTCTGCCTTTCCTCATTCTTGTCTTGCGGTTTGTTTAGCTGCTCCACAGAGAGTCGTCTAGGCAGATAGCGAGCAGGGCAGGGCTCCTCTATGCTGAATCGTAAACCCTAAGGTCTTCTCCAGAGCGGTGCTGCTGCTCAGCACGGTTCTTTTGCGTCCGTAGCATCGGTAAGAATAACGAACATTTTACGAATGACTTCTCTAGAATGAAATTGCTTTCAAATGAAATAATAATTCCTGCAATGCCAGGGAGAGGAGGGATGCGCCGAGTGTACGACGGATTGAGTTCAGTGTGAGCGTAGTGGCGGTGTCACATTTGACCTTTTACTTCAGTGAGTCGGTCCGGAACACTTGTGGTGCATGGTTTGGGAGTTAGGAGAAATGATGGGGCCAAGTACTGTAAATAGGACACAACAGAACGTTTTGTTAGAGACGTCGAGGGTGTGCGAGGACGGTCGAGGGAGTGATGCTGCATCCAGCACGACTCACAGATGAGAGTTGAAAAAAAATCCCACAATGTGGGTCGGTTTTCGTTCTGGTGCTTGCTGTCCGCAGCGAGCTCACGCCTTTGCAACAGTGATACCACTCGCTTCTTGCACGCAAGAGTGGAAATTGTCCGGAGTGGAAATTCTTCAATGTCACTTGCAGAGCTGCTCAACTCTCGACAGCATATCGTTGGCTGCGTGGGACAGTTCTCCACGCTCGAGTGGTTTCATATTATCTTGCTTTGCAGCAGTGTGTTTTTTTACCTCACTGTGCATAAGAGCAAGTCCGAATGAGTGGTCGAATTCGAAGAATTTGTCCTGAGTCCTTATTTTTCCGGAGCATTGTCTTTTGCACTTGTTGCTCGGAGGTTTGCAAATGAGCCTTGTACCTCCTCACTAGTAGGTGCAAGCTCGTGATTCCTACCCATGTAATTTAACCCGTCCACTCGATCAGGCAGTACAGTTGGGCAGGAGGGAGGGGTTGGGTCTGGATGTTTGAATTTCACCCTGATTCTGATTCGGTGCATTGTATCAATCTGCTAATCTTGATGCTGGCAATGTTGCCTCCCCAACGTACATATCATAACAAAGTCGAGAGTGGCCTTTTCGTCAAATGCTTAATTCGATAGAAGTTCGATGGTATTACATTTTAGGGATTGAGTGTCTTGGCTTGGTTATTAAACCCATTGTCGGACATTTGGTTCATCTCCACGTGGACTTTGACCAAGACCACTGGGCTTTTAGCCTGCATTGACATTGAATTGACAATTCAGTGCATTCTTGTGTGATTTTTTGTGGCAGATGGGTAAGTCAAGTGGTAAGAAGAAGAAGGCGAATTCGGCCTCTGGCGAAGGGGCGACAAAAGTTGACCCTGATGATGCGGTACAATTTCTTTTCCAGTCAGGAACTACCTTGCGTTTTTTGTCAACAGCTAATGTTTCCCAGTCGCCTGAACCGGTTCTGTTTTCCTCAGGTCTTTCTCAAGAGAGCTCACGAACTTAAGGATGAAGGAAACAGGCGTTTCCAAGCGAAGGACTACATGGGGGCTCTCGACAATTATGATCAAGCCCTCAAATTGACTCCAGAAGGTCATCCAGACAGAGCCGTATTCCACAGGTTTGATTTCCTCTTTACAAACGTTTAGTCGTGTTTGAGGATCTTCTCTCTCTTAACAGTTTTTTACAGCACATTTCAGACTTTGATCCCCTATGATCATATATTCTGCCTACGCTGTGTCACCTCATGTCTAACAGGAATTTTGTAGTAGCCTTGTAGAGTAAGATGCTTAGGTTTTACTTGACTAAGCTGCTCAACAGCAAAGGAGATGTCGCCCTAAGTGTCAACTGATCAAATCAACTCAGCAATCATCTAAATTAGGAGATATATTGCGCAACGTATCCCCAATATATCCTAAAATGGACAAAAGACCGAATGCAGTGTCGTACGGAGGGTATAAAATACTGTCTACAAATAATGTAGTCTACGCACACAGAAAACAGATTATGTAGATCTCCAGCTAGAAAAGTTAAGTAGAGACCTCATTCTATATTTCTGAGGACTAGCGTTTTTAGACCTGTTTACCTCCGGTGAGCTATCTTCAGGCAGATAGCCAATCATTACCGAACTGAAGAATGACTAATCTAATATCTGACTGACGAATGACCGTTTTCCAAGTAAGCAGGAAACTCCCATCTAAAATTTGTTGTCTTTGAGAAACTTGGACGGTCGTAGCTTGGCACAGTTCAATAGCTGAGTTGACAGTTTCGCCAGTTGAAGGATATTCTTCTGTGTTCAGTTTGAGGTGCAGATTTGTCTTCTAGGGTTTAGTAAATTAAGGATTATATTCCGAAAATCTCGTTTGAAAGGTTGACATGTGTGTTTATGAAATGGATAAAACTCGATGTTCAAACGTACCAATGTTACTAAAATTTGATCTGCGCAACATGTTCCAGCAATCGAGCTGCCTGTCTTCTTCAAGTAAAGCCCGTCATATATGATAATGTTATTATGGAATGCACGCTCGCGCTTGAAGCGCATCCCAAGTTCGGAAAGGCTCTATATCGACGAGCACGTGCTTATGAAGCCATGGGCAAGTTGCAGTTGGCACTTGCCGACGTTCAGTTCCTACTCCAGGTACAGCAACTGTTTCGAATAACGCATATGAACTCGAGGATGGTGGAGAAACTTGACGCTGTTGTTTCACTTTGCTCATTTCGAGGTTTACTTAGTGTTCTTGTCGTTCTTGGAAAGCCTGTTTGTCAGAGCAGATGCTTTGAGCACACCTCCTTCACGAAGAGAGCCGCTACATTAGTTGTATTACAATGCAGGTGTTATTGTCGAGTGTTCCTTACAGCTGTCTCAAGTTCATGTTTATCTTTGCAGTCGGAGTCCAGTAATCAAGAAGCATTGGAACTTGGAAAGCGCCTGAGAGCGGCACTCGGAAACATTGAAGGAGCTCAACAAGACACCCAATGGCGATCTTCAGTTTCTCTTCATGCATCTCCTCCAGATACTGCCACTTCACCTGCAACTCCAGGAGCTGATGGTGCCCCTGGTCAAAGTGGCCGAGGGCCAACTCTTCCTGCCAGGCCTCCGGGTAAGAAAAAAGGACGCACAACCACCGATTCAGAAGCTACGTTGCGCACCGCAGGAGAGACTGGAACTTCTGTTCCATCTGTCACCCATAACACACCTCAACCAGAAATGTCTAAAAGTGGTGGATCTAAAGTTGCCTCAAACAACCCTGTAAACCGGGATGAGAAGAAGCTGTCAAATAGAAGCATTTCACGTGAAGAAGCCGCGAAGCACACACCAAGGCTCCTGAAGCTAGTTTTTGGTCACGATATTAGACGTGCGGAAGTATTTGGAAACTGCGGGTGAGTCCCTGTCCTGACGATCTGGCTTTACGAGATTTTCTATTTTTATAGAGTCGAGCACCAACAATTACCTGTGATATCATTAACAGTTCGTACTTCATGTTACTGTCTTATTTTGTGAAGGTTTGGTGATCTGCGTGAGGTCGTGAGGAAGCGGTTCCCTGGACTCAAGACGGTGCTGATCAAGTACCAAGATCCAGATGTAATTTTCCCCTCATTGCCAAGTATTAGAAAAGTAGAGCAATGCAAGAATGGGTCGACACATGTTCTGATTTCTGAGGAAGGATCATCGTAAGAGTTGTTGATAAAACACAGGTCCCCGGATTGGCTTTAAATACCCAATCCGAGTGACAAGGGATGTGCTCTGATATAAGGGAACACACCCGTATAGTGGGTCGCAGTCACATCACAGTCCTAACTATAAGGACACTAACTGCACTAATCCGCACAGACAGGAAGTAATAGGGAGTATAACAGTATTCTAACACCAAGGTCTTGAGCATGTGCGCAAATTAGCCAGGCCCATGATGTTGAAAACTGATATTTTGCATGGTTTGAAAATTTGGCCTGGACAGGGCGATCTAGTCACGATAACCAGTAGAGAGGAACTACGGCTTGCAGAAGCAGCCGCCGATGAAGCAGGTAGGAGCAAGAAGCTAGATGCAGGGGACACGCCGGTACCAGACGCCAGTGAAAAGCAAGTGCCATTGCCCATTCCAACCAGCGTACCTGAGCTCGTGAGGTTGTACTTAGTCGAATGCACTCCGGAGCAGGAGCCACCTATTCCTGAGGATGATGAAATTGTGATTCTTGAAGAGGACGACGTGGTTGAGTCTCTTGGAGAAGATATGGTCACCGAGTCACTGGAAGTACTGCCGGATTCTGAGAAGGATGTCACTTTGCCAGAGGATGGGCAAGTTGCGGAGGCCAAGACAAGTAAGTCTGCTAAGAAGGAAGATGGACAGCCTGCTGGGGAGGAGATGGAGATCGATGATTGGCTGTTTGATTTTGCCCAACTCTTCCGCAGTCATGTGGGTAAGTACATCTGTCTAATCTCTAACGTGGAAATTAAGTACGGACGTCAAGTTCAGATCTGTTATCTTTATATTGTAGCCTACTTCCAGATACCCTTATGAAATTGAAGACACCATCATACGTTGAACAACGGACACAAGGCTTGGTCTAGCTGTCCAATAGAGTGGACTGTAAGTTTTGGACAAGAAGCTTTGTATACGTAAGGATACGAAAGTAGGAAGTAGTTTCTAAACGTTATTGTTCCCTTTGTTGCCAGGAATTGACCCCGATGGGCACGTAGATTTCCATGAATTGGGCATGGAGCTTTGTTCGGAGGCACTAGAGGCAGCTGTTACCAGTGATGAAGCACAGCCTCTTTTTGAAGCTGCCGCAGCCAAGTTCCAGGAAGTGGTATATTTCTAAGCATCAGTTAGAACTGCTTGCCCAATTTTCTTGAGCTGAGTTCTCGTCCGTCAAGCTTAGGAAGTACATGTCTTCAAAATTGGAAGATAGAAATTTTATATTCTTTCCTTTGTCTTCTGGTCCATGTCTTGCTTTACTTACTTCCTTCCAATGCTTTTTCTCAGGCCGCGTTGGCCCTTTTCAATTGGGGAAATGTGTACATGTGTGCTGCACGGAAGAGAATGCCCATGGAAGAGGCAGGAGGCAAACCGGAATCTAAGGACCAGTTACAGGCCGCGTTTGAGTGGGCAGAGAGTCATTACAAGCTTGCCGGTCAGAAATACGAGGAAGCCTTGAGAATCAAACCAGATTTCTACGAGGTGTGTTTTCTTGAACGACCACTTTCCTGTTCCATACGATATTTATAAGGAAAAAAGCTGTTGCGTGCATGTACGGATCCAATTCATTGTGGCGTGTTGATGAGGACCATCCCCCAACCAACCAACCAACGAACTAGACACCAGATTGGCTGTAGGGTTCCTGATATGATTCTCCTCTCCACCATGAGATCGTATTGATTGACAGGTGTACAAACAAATACAGATTTTGACGTTATGATCTGTACTTTTTCCAGGGTGTTCTAGCCCTTGGACAGGAGAAGTTTGAGAGCGCCAAGCTGCAGTGGGCCGCTGCCGTTGCAGGAGGCGTAGACCTGAAGAGCTGGGACTCATCAGAAACTTTGAGTCTATATCGCTTCGCCGAAGAGAGGATGCAGACTGCTGCTGAGGTACTACAATGTTCTCACCACGAAAACGAGTGACTTTGTTCTAGATTATGTTCTCTAATGTTGCTGTGTGAGCCTTCAATTTGCACAGGTTGAGTTTATATCCCCTTTTCTTTAATGGTCTGAGTCAGTCTCACCGCTGTACGCTATGTACGCTCGAAACTAAGGGCTGTAAGGCTCTTGTCTACATGCATGGCGGAAGCGTACGAAATAGAAGGGCAGATCTATTAGATCTACTTCCAGATCTTCTACCTTTTAATACTAACTCTGCAGCTCTGGTTGATGCGGGACCTTAATCAAGTGTTTGTAGCAGTGAAGGTGATGCTTGAGTCCGGCATGCATGCATGTCTTTAGAGCAAAGTGAAAGTATGTGTGGTTACGGTCTGATCTTTGACGTCCTGGGGTTTCTATGAAATTGTTTCGAAGGTAAATCCTTTTCGTGAGCTAAGTTTTTAGAGTTCATTACGCTCACCTCATCGAAGCATTGAAGTCTCACTATATGTTTTCCCATCTTTCGGTTGCTTGAGAAGATGTGGGAGCAACTGGAGGCACAGCAACAAGGAGCCGAGGCCACTTCTAAAGTAAGAAAGGAACAGGTGAAACCTGAGACCTCCAACGACGATGGTGCTAGTGCGTCGGAAGCTGCAGATCAGGGAGCAGCCATGAGGTCTCAGATCAATCTTTTTTGGGGAAATGTTCTTTTTGAGCATTCTCAAGTGGAGGTAAATTTCCAGTAGGCCACTTTTGAGATCAGTCATTGTTGATTGGGCTGGTTGTTCAAGAAATCTGTAGACGTCAATCGTGACTGTTTGTTGGTCTCTCATTCTGTTTAGTTTCGAAGTGTATCGTTGTCTATCCACGTAGTTTCATGGTTTATTGGAGCGTTAAATTGGGCGCCGTCCCATGAATAGTATGGGGTCATGTGTCTGACTCAGTTGTGCTTTGACAGTCGTCTCAGAGTGTGATTCCTGAGAAGTATGCTGATGTTGCAATTTGTGCATATGACAGTATCGCCTGGGGCTGAACACTTGGAGAAGTCTGCTGGACGTGGCGGTGGAAAAGTTTGTTGCTGCAGGAGCCTCGGCTGAGGAAATTGAGGGTGCTTTAAAGAACCATCCAGCAAACCTTGCGAAGGAGAAAACGGAAAATAGCTTGCCATTAGATGAGCCGAGTACATCAGTTGTAGACAAGAACGGGAATTCTCCGGATCCTGTCAACGAGAATGGTCTCCTAAAGGCTGATGAGGATCCGAAAGCTAACAAAAGCACAGTAACTAGTAGTGCTGTACAGATTGAACCTAAGATTATTGGTGGAGATGCTCCCGGTATAGTGGCTAAGGATACGGAAAATCAGACGAAAGAAGACCTGCCCGAGACTGCGAGCGTAGACAGAGAAGATGGTCAGGGCAATGGCAGAGATGGACCATCTTCCAAGGCCATTTGTGATGACGGATTAGTTGACACACCTTTAGAAGACTCTACCACTAAGAGCAGCAAGAAAGGAGCTAATTCTTCAGCGGCATCAGGTTCTCATAAAGCGTCTACAGAGGACAAGCCTCGTCCTAAAAGAGCAGAGAAGAAAAGGTCACAAGGTAGTTGAAACAGGAGAGTTTGTTTTGTGCTGCAGTTGGAATATAAACAACTGGGGCCAGTCGGCTATACTTCCCCGAGTGACCTGTGTTTGAAAAACTCAGCACAGGATATGGGGAGTGTTTTTGTACACTCTGTGTTCCTTTATGAACACAGATTCCACTGAGTCGAAATAGTTGAGAAAGGGTGCTCATTCCCAAGTTTTTGGGGTCACCCGGGAATAGCGAAGGTTTTGAGTCAATAGTGATTCATTCCCCTGGGTGAATTTCTCGTCACATGCCTGAGAACACTAGAACAAGCACCAATAACATGGTTAGTGGCATTCGGCAGCGCTCCAGCTTTCGTTAAGAATTATTTGGCTATAGCAAGTAGTTGCCAGAAACCATCAGATTGTTTTCCACTGGTGAGTACTTCGGCAAATTGTTCGTTATGGTTCACACGAGGAGTATGGAAGTAGACTCATACCTTCGGGTTCCTGCCGAGACCAGATCCTAGGCACTTGGCCTTTATGGTCCATCGTCAGGTTCTAATTGTGCGGGGGAGACTCTTGTGCTGGTAAGCGGGTGCCGAAGGAGGAACATGCTGATAAAGAGTTCACCATCGGACTCATAACGATTAGTTTTGTGTCCGTTTCATTCATTAGTCCTCGGCAACAATTAAATTGGTTCTTATATTGGATTCAGAAGACAACTTAGGCTTCAGTTTAGTCCTGTGTATGCCGATAGAGGTTTTATCCTCTGCTTCAATCTCACGCAGCTTGGGCATTTTGAGGTCGAAGCAACCGTCCGTTGAGGCTCACGCTGTAGTGCGAAGCTATGAGTATTATCCGAGGCTTCTGAAGCTAGGTTGATGGGCAGATGTTGGTATCTGACATCGTTACCGGTCAGTTTCGAACATTCATTGTTTAGTGGATTGCAACAGTTCAATTTTCCTTGTTTCAGGAATGACAGACATTGGCTGGATTTGATTGTTTTGCATCCACTTCCCAGCATAAAGGAGATTTTTTGTCCAGTTCTCGCAATTGTCGATGACTATGCAATTTCTCTGATATTCGTCTTTAAAATCTGGAACATGTGTCGAACCTAGTGTTTAATTCCAGATGGGTGGGAAAACCAGCGAGCATGGAATGTTCCTCTAAGGGTTCTCGATGAAGACTTCTGAAGACACATATTTAACGCACATTATTTTGGACACAGTAGTGTTTAAATTTTGTGTTCAGTTGACGCTACCAGATAAGAGAGGAAAATTGTTCAACGTTTCTGGAAACAACAACGTGCTTCCGAGCTTTCGCGTCCGACAGACCTCGCTATCTGTTCAGGAGCAGTTGACTTCGAATTGGACCGTATTGAGATAGAACAAACTAAACCCTAGACCGAAGGTCTTCGGGTCTGGGGTTAGCCTGAGGCGAAGCGGTGGGGTTGTGTTTAGCCCTGATCACTGTTCTCGAACTATGGTAACAATTTAGATATTGTACGAAATATAAGGCAAGGTTCCGACGTATAGAAGCCCCGATGATTATTCGAAATAGAAACCTTGACTGTATCATTCCTCACATCTGCTAACAGCAATATGCAAATTCGCTGAATGGAAGAGTATTGGATAATCGTAGGAACAGCTCGTAGGACAATGCTGGACAGTTCGTACTAAGGACTTCACAGGACTTTTTCAACTCGGAAAGCTGCGGGACCCTGGATACTCTTACCGACTGCCCGAGTTGTAGCTTGTAGAAAGGTGCGAGGTTTGGTGACCTTGGTACGTATAACCGCCAACGCATGCAATACTTAGGGCTCGTGTAGTCCAGCTCGTATGTGTAGTCGACATAAGGTCAAGTACATATCTGGCAGATGCATGTGCACTTTCCTAAACGCACGAACAATCCTCGCAAGCTCAATGACGATGAGATAATATGGTACAACAAAACTCTCTTTATATGTGAGCGTGCAGACCTGACTGCCGAATGAAGGGAAGTGTTCTTATGAGCTTTTCAAAAATTTTAGTTGGCTCTATCCACAAGGAGGGAGTGTCACTCTTAGTAACCTGAGTTGCAAAACCCCGAAATCGTTCCGTCTCGAGTCCGGACACTTCAATTTTGGACTGCGATTAACATACATCGTTGGTCTATGACGACACCTGGTTGAATCTACAAGAGACTTCAAGAGGAGAATACTTTTGTCTAAGTATTAGGGATGTACATCGGACGGACAACCGAAAAAGGAGTAACAAATTCTCATGTTCATGTGCGAGTGACTCTTGAAGATATTCCAGGGACTATTCAAGGACCGTAGCAACTTTAAGCTCGATCTACATTGCTTGGATCATGTGAATGGCATTGGTACGAATTTCACTTTAAAATACTAGATAGTGTTCCAACAGTGGCCACGATCTCTGTCTCGAACTTCCACGATTAATGCATGTATTCAATCAAATTGTAACAGGATATTGGACTTCAGAAATGCAAAGAGATTAGATGAATAGCGAGACAGACCTATCATAGATTGAAGGAATAGAGAAAAATCCTGAATAAGAGAAGAAGTGCTAGAGAAGTGAACTGAAAGGAATAATACGCTACGCATGATTGTAGGTTTAGTAACTACAATCGACAAAAATTGCGCAATAATATCTGCTTTTGCAGATATTATTTCGCATTTTTTGTCGATTGTCGATTGTATTTTTGTCGATTTTTGTCGATAGATGTGGAAGTATTTTATTTTTGGTAGCTCAAAACCTAGTCGGATAGTTGAATGTTTAGCTCGAACAACTTGCTTGGAATGATTAAAGACAGTTTCAGTATTTTTTCTGGGATTGATATATGCAACGAAAATAAAATACATTAATATTTTCATTTTCAACTTTTAGATTTTAGATTTACATTAATTACAACTCTCCACAAGAGAATATTATTTTTTGAGTGGTTTGTGAATGGCATGTCAAATTTCTTATCTGATGATCTCACTGTCCCAAACTGTAACTGTAGTTATGGTGTTATTCAATGATATTTTTCATTATTATGAAAATTAAAAATTATTTTAACTCTTTCGATGAAATTTATCTTAGCTACAAAAGTTAAAAGATACGGAATTTTTTTTCAACATTCAACATACTTATACAATATAAAATTTTATTTTTTGTTATTTTTTATTTCTTTCAATAAATAAAAGTATTATTATAATAAATTAAAATTTGAATATCGTATTGTTAAATTCGGATTATAAGATCGTGTTTGATTTCACATATCAATATCCGTTGAGAAAATTTGAAAATATCAAAAACTGAAGATTGATATTGATTTAAGTTATAAAATCAATAAAAAATTTATTTTTGCAAACTATATTTTATTTTAGAAAAGAATAAAGTTTGATAATTTATGAATAAAATTTATGTAACAGAAAAATTGGTATTTTCCAAATTTATTTCATTAAGAAAGTTGAATATTAACATGGCTACAAATATTTTACAAAAAATTTGATTTTTTTATTTATGAATCTTAAATTTAATGAAATAGATTGAAAATAAATTTGAAATATCCATTCATGAAAAATTTATAAGAGCAAATTTTTTTAATAAGACATGTAATTGAAAATAATTTTTTAATTTGAAATGTGTATTTAAGATATATTTTTCTAATTATTCAAGATAATTCAATTGAAATATGACTTAACAAAATACAGTCTTGCTTTTTTTTCAATTGAGATTTGAAATTCAATAGAAAAATATTTGATAATAAGCATATTTATTCATAATTAAAAAAATTATTTGAATCTAAAAAATTTCAAAATAAGGACAAGGGATGAGGAGTATGATGCATGTGTTAAATATCTGATATCAATGTAATATTTTTTAAATGATAAGTTAAAACAAGTTAGAAATGTTAATCTTTAAGAGCAATGTGTGATAGATGACTAATGTTGCAAATATGATTTTTGGTATCAAGTGATGATTGTGATCAATATCACGAAATCTATTGTTATACGTACAAAAATTTAAAATGAAAATTTAATTTTCATTATTAGAAGATATAAATAGCTCTAAAAAATTTCAAGAAATCGATACAGTTATTTTTGAGCTTTTGTGAGATTCTACATCAGCCAGATTATCTTGACCATCAACATACTTCTATTGACCATAATCCTTCTACTTATTCTTGACACAATAGATCAATCAATAAATCATCAATAATCTGCAAGGAATTTCTTTTCCTTCAAATATACACGCAGCACGAAATATTAATGGTTCATGTAGATTCACGCATCCAGTTTACAAATCAATTAGCCTTGCTGCTGGCTAAGCCCTCTCCCACTTTGCATTTCCTAGCCGCCTCTAGTTTTCCTTCAAACTTGTTATTCAACGCTCTAATTCCTTTTTACGTTTGCTCTTGACCTTGTTGATGGATGGCGAGGGCTCTTGATGGCCAAGTGATGGCTCCTCGGAAAACTTAGTTCACATTATGGTGTCAATGTCCGTGGTCCAATTGCCTACTTGCTCTAGACAGTTACTTCAAAAAACTTCAGCTGCATGTGAAGGGGTGGAGAGCTCAAGAACCTTAATCTCGTAATACCTTCGGACGATGTTTGAACGTAGGCTTTTAGACATTGTCAACCTGCAGTCCTTCTAATTTGACGGCCATGGTCTACAATGATCCAAGTGGTCATCCTCAAGCCTGAATCAAACTTCCTTGTCCGTTTCCGGGGCATCGTTTCCGGGATCCCATTTTACCATGGCTAGAAATGAAATTTAGTGGATTTTAGAGGATAGATGGTCGACTATTTCTACATCATTCAATTAATCTCCTTCAACAACATATTTACGTGCTTCTAGACCTGATCTATAAACTGTATACATTGAGAAATGATAACCACTGGAGGATCAAGTCTTCAACTTACGTGGTACTCTTGCAAGCTTGAAGAACTAAGATATCACCTGACCAAAAAGCGACTTGAGTAATAGTGTTAGAGTTGATGTCTTTTCTCTTGAATATTCGATACTCAGTGAAGCTATTTTTATATAAGACTTTGTAAGAAAGGTACACAATGGGAGGACTTCCTCAATTCAAGCAAGAAAACATCTAGTAGTCTCGTGTTCGAAGACAGGAATGGATGAGAGCAAGAACTTTGAACCACTCCTTAAAGTCTTGTATGAACAGGATCAGCAATGTACAGTTAACGACATTGAGCTTTGAATGTAAACAACTACCCAGTCTACCACCTTGAGCTTCAAAACGGTGATCGGATAGATGTAAGAAATTACATACATTACTTATAACCCGGCTGTGGTAATAATGGATAGAAGGAGAGCATCAGTATTTGAAAACCCAACAGAAGATGCATTCATTTTCCAGTAGTACCCATAGTACCCACAAAGCCTCAGTACTTCCACCCAGATGCTATATCTTCATTGCTTCAGGCTAAAAATATGCAAAAAATAATATAAAATTCTCTTTGAAGACACGACAGGCTTTCATTATGACCACATTATTCGCTTTCAATTTTCAGAGCTACAGCATGACTGCCTTTGAAAGTCTTCCCAACACCATTATTACTGGAAATATCGCACGTAAGAAAACAAAACTGGAGTGGATAATTTATTGGGGGAATCGAATTCTTTGCATCGTCTTTAGTGTAGGCTTGGGGGTATCTTACTGTTTGGGTATCTTCGGTATGAGCATACTACCGAGTCATAAGTCAATGACTAGTGTAACGAACATCAAAATCTACTAACAAGAAGAAGACCACGACATCGGTAGAAACGAGGACATGTTTCCCTTTGTGATACTATTGGGGCCTAGCGCCTTCATCCTTGTACGGCTTGATGGGATCTTTCAATTTTCTGTTATCTACTTGGCCCCCCTTCCTCAAGGAAACAAGACCAAATCCACTCGATCATGCCGTCATTCACCGTCTGTTTCTGCCTACAGGAGGAGGACTTTGACACAATGAGAGAGTGAGCGGACAAATGACCAACGGACACAACAGACAGTGCTCTGTGTCCATCTCTCCATGCTTGGAAAGATGGAGAAATGAAGTGGAAATGGAAGAGAAGGCATTGTACTGCATCCGAAGGGACGCGGGGAGGTGGGGTTGGATGATGGGACCACGGAAGTGAAGACTGTTTCCTTGGTGGCTCTGTCTGGCTTGCTTGGATATTCTCTCAGCTCACTAGGAAAGTGTGTAGGGCGAGAACTCCACTCGCTCGCTCGCCGGTGTCATGAATTTCTCGTGCCAGCCCCTTGAATCCAGCACGGATGGGAGTTGTCTTCACGTCTTCGACTTGGCTTGACTGCCTCGAGAGACTGGGTTATGGTGGGGGTGGCCTGGCATTCGCCACTGTGAAATCTGGTAGGTTGGTAGGAAGTCTTGTAAGTACATACAGGGTCCAGATTCCAGAAGAATAGACTGCAGGTCTTTCTTGTCGTTGTCTTTGTTCGAGTACAGTAGTTATGATGAACAGCATCCCACCATCCTCTTTTCTTCCCTGCTTGCCCGCGGATCTTCAGCAATCCCAGACACAATCGAGATCCGAAGATGATCGCCACAGTAATAAGCTCATGGGTCGCAGATGCCGCGGGTAAACCCGTGAATATCGTCTTCCGATTCGAGATGTCGACAAATCATGCAAGTTGAGCTTTTCGCATGCTCGCTGCCTTTACGAACACAATGACGACGTTGTCAACAGGGTCGCCAAAGATCGGTATCTATGTTTGTACGTTGTCGCCAGTGCTACCGAGATTTCACATTTTGCTGATGGCTGATGGCTGGTGTGCATGTACAGCATTCTTCCAGTACGGACGAATGAAGGACCTTCGTCCTCTTTTCACCGCTGGCCATCGTGGAGGCATGACGGCAGGACAAGGTCGAGGCAGGGTGCATCCATCTTCAGGATAGTTGAAGTCAACTATGGCTGTCGTGAGAAAACGATCGAGATATTCGAACTCGTTCGGGCATTCATTTGTCGAACCTCGAGAGTGGCTCTACCGTGCACTGTTTGCCTTCTCGATGTTCGCGGCCTTTGCTTTAAGGAACAGCCACTGGGAACGAGAGAGAAAGTGAGGGAGAAGAAGAAATTGATAAATGCATGACAATGTGGGGAAAATACGGGGCTCGGTGCTGCAGACAAGCAGAATACGATATGGCGACTACAGTACACTGTTCAGAGTCCAGGTTCATGTGCAAATGGAATGATGAGCTTATCGACTCCGATTGAGTTGCACAGTTGTGTACTCGTCGTCGTCCGTCCATGGAAAAAAATAAGAATGTCGCCGGACGACAGCACTGACTGCGAACGAGTGACGGACATTCAAAGTCCACGGGCTCTGAGACAAGGGCGACGAGACGAGAGCTGAAGTGCGCCCCTCCGGATGAATACGGACCGGGTGGCTTCTCGCCATCGCCATCGACTGTACGTGGTCCTTTCCAGAGGAGGAGGAAGTGGCTCGCACACACAAGTTGGTGCAATGCTAGATAGAAGCAGCGGCGGCCGAGAGACATGGCAGCGAGGCAGAGGCAGAGGCAGGCAGAGTCTGACTCCGGAGAGAAAGTTGCGAGAAGCGACAAGCGAGGGAGAAGGTGCACGAAGAGGGGAGGGGAGGGGAGGGGAGGCGATGGAAGGTGGTGCTACCGAGGAGCTGCGTCAATGTGGTTTGCTGCTGGTGGTTGGGGTCAAGAGTAGACTAGAGTAGAGTGCAGAGTGCAGAGAGCAGAGGCAGCAGAGGCAGCAATAGAGTCTCCAGTCTGGGTCATAGTCTAGAGAACGGGACCGTACGCTGTGACGCTTTGTTTCTTATGGGGCTCGCTCGCGGGCGGGGCTACCAACTTTCTGAGCTTGTCGACGAGAAGAGGAGAGGGCCTAGGTGCTCGAGAGGATCGAAGCAATCCGGCAAGCTAGCGAGAGCTAGGCAGAGGCAGAGGCTAGAGGAGGCTAGAGGAGGCTAGCGGGGCTACAACCAACAACTACGCCGCCCATGCAAAAGACGCGAGAGAGCGCGTGATGGAGTGGGCTCGGGAGCGCCTCTCGCAACACAAGCGGCCGGGGCGGAGGAATTGTTTATGCGCTTGTTTGCGGAGACGACACATGTGGCGCAGGGGTGTCGATCGGTTTCCCAGATTCGAGCGAAGGCACGCGAGGGTGCGCAAAAGGTGACCGGAGGGGAGGGGAGGGGAGGGGAGGGGGTGCAGAGCCAAGGCGAGGGCAACGCCGCCAACAACAGGAGCCAGGTGCAAGCGGCATGGGGCCATGGGGGCCTGGGATCGGCTGCAGCAGCGGGCCAGACCACTTGGCGAGGGAGGAGTCATGACGACGACGACCGCTCTTTAGTTCGAGGCCAGTGGTGGGACGAGGCACTCGAGCGCCGTTCGTTCGCTGCCTGGCGCTGTGTCTGTCTCGAGCCATCCGCCCTGCCCTGCGCAGAGCCGAGAGAGTGAGGCTGCCATTAAAAGAGCAGTCGCTCGCTTCGAGAGATTTGACATCAGCCTCTAGAGCTCGTCATAAGTCGCTCTGCGCTGCGCTGCATCCATCGCCTTTCACCACCACCCCTCCCCTCCCCTCCCGTGCCCATACAGTTCACGCCGAGCCGGTCGTGAGCCCAGCCCATCGCATCGCATCCATCTCTCATGCCTCCATCCTTGCTTCCGATCGATTCTCGCACACGCCGTGCCGACTGGCGGTAAATCCTGATTAATTGCGCAAGAAGACGCCGCAGAAGAACAAGAAGAATAGAAAGAACACCAGATGGATAGACATCCCGGCCCCACCAAATCCCACCGACCGCTTCATTTGGTTACTCCCTCCCCCCCCCCCCCCCCCCCCCCCCCCCCCCCCCCTCCCCTCCCTCCCTCATCCATTCATGACGCTGCTGGTGAGAAGACTTACCGTGTAGGCGAGACAAACCGGCAGACAGATAGGCAGGCAGGCAGCAAGCAAGCAGGCGGGCAGGCAGGCAGACAGCGACGGGCGATCAGAAACACACTTTCTGTGAGCATGAGGGACGAGGGACGAGGGACGAGGGATCGAGCGAGCGAGAGCTTGAGAGAGGGAGAATTCGCAGAATCGGCCACACGCTTTCGAAAAGGGGGAGAAGAGGGTAGACGAAGACGAAGACGAAGAAGAAGGGGGATGAGGAGGAGGGGGGGGGGGGGGGGACGAATGGGGAGAAGAAACAAGAGCACGGGATCTGGAAAAGAAAGCGCGCAACGGCGCATCGGCACTTGGGGAACGAGGCCTGACCGGCGCGGACCTGCCCGGGCATGTCCTGCCCGCGGTCGATGCAGACAGCGGGCGTACGGCGGGGCGGGGGAGGGGCCGTCGCTAGGACAGACGGCCGGCAAGGGCCGAGAAAAGCGACCGTCGCCGTCGGGCTGGAAATCCGATTGACAAAGATTTCGGGAGGGTGGCACCTACAAAGGGGGATCTCCTCGGTCGTAGGTGGATGCGTGCGCGCGACATCGCGAGCACGAGCGCGAGCACGGGCACGAGCATTTGCTCTTGATTCTGCGCTGCTCCGTCGCTCGCTCGTCGCTTCTTCTTTTGTCCCTTCGGACAGCATCTCCGCTCGTCGTCGTCGTCCGCGCATTTACTGCGCCCGCAACCACGGGCCTCGGGCGACTGCGTAAGAGTAGCTGGCTCCTCCGACTTCATCGGAGATTTGGACCTTCCTCGTACTATCCAGTACAGAGGACAGCGCGAATATTGATCGCATCAACAACCTTCTCGGTCATGAGAATTCAGTGCGACTCCCTTCCTTTATCACGCACCCTCGCTTGCCTGATGCTGGCGTGCGCTCGAGCAGGGATGGGAATCATGGGACTCGGCATTAATGCTAAGGTTGCATCGGTGGGCCGGGCCGGGGATGAGCATCCGCCTGCGGCTCCAGTCCACGCGGATCCTGAAGGTTTCATGGGGCTGATGAGATCTGGTCACACAGGAAACAAGGTGGCCTCGGTCGGCCGGCGCGCGCGCTGCTGCTGCTGAAATGCTGCTGGAAGGTTTGCCGGAACACGGCCGCGAAGAGAGAGCAGGGACGCTCGATGCTTCTGTAACGGAATGGTCGTACGAGAAACGGGAAGAATTGTTGTGTCTCCTCGAGGCGTGATCCGCCATGCTCTTACTCGGTGTCAGAGTTAGAGGATAAGAGGGACGAGCGTCGCACAAGCGGCAAAAGGCTGTGCTCGCAGCACGACAGGGCGGCCGTCAGGCCGGACCAGGCCAGGTTTGCCCATCAAGACTGGAGCCTTGGGTTTCTGATCGGCTGGATAACAATCATGTTTAAGACAGCGGGGACATCGTGTGCCGGAATGGAGCCGCTCATTGGCGAGCGTGGAATTCACAGATGAACACAGCGAGAGTGAGAGCGAGAGAGAGCACGTGTACACAGAGACTTTTCACACCATGGGACATTTCGACAATTTGGCCATTTTGACATTTTGACATTTCGACACTCGAATCTCCACACTCTGCGTTGATCCCGACTGCAACTCCACCCCTCAAGGACGGCACGGCCCCGTATGCACACATGAATGTGCAATCCATCAACCATGCAGCGGAGTGTGTACGTCGAACGTGAATCGGATAAGACGTCGAACAGAGGTTACGCTCGACAGTGTCTGTCATGGATATATTGCAGTGCAGACACCGTAGACGACAGACGGGGCAGGGCAGCGGGGGCTCGAGAGATGGGGAATCGAAACCGCAGCTGAGGACGAGACAGACAGACAGACAGACAGACAGATGGGACGAGAGAGGGGGAGTGCATTGATGAGGAGAATCATGGAACCAGGTCGAAATTTTCAATCTCGCACAAATTTACTACTACTAAAATTAGAAAAAGCACATCAGTACATATAGACTTAGTCGACCTGGCAACATTGATTGAATGGGCCCACCTTTCCCTTGTGAAGGGCAGGCTGGTAATGGCGAATGGGCCTCTTGACCCACCATCTACTCCTACTGCTGTCACTCGCAGCTTTAAAACCAACACAATGACATGGTACAAAGTGATTCTCTAAAGTTCACACTGATCATCCCTCTCCACCTTACGAGGGGCCACTACAATGTTACACAGAAATTAATCTACACACGCAATTCAGAAGTTACCGAGCTAAAATCTAGAAGCGATGTGGAGGCCATGATGCAGATCTTGTGAGGGAAGGCTTCATCTTTTTGTCCTCCTCCAAACTGATCATTCCCAGATGCGATGGATCCTCCAACATCATTTTCGCCACCAGATAGCCGGCGATGGACCACGTCTGGTACTTCCTGGCTTGCTTTCCGATGTAGCGCCCCAGCTTTCCGTCGTAGTACTCGGGCCAGCCGTCCTTCGACAGTCTTTCTTCCACTAAACCTATTGCTCGACGAGCAATCTGCGGTCGGCCTGTCTTGATGCAGGCTGCTGTCAGCATCCAGAGAAGAACTGCACGCGGGCGACAAGAGTGCGGCAAAAACCACGCATCAGAAAGAGCCTCAGTCTCTGGGGTGAGCAAGCTGTTGGACTTTGTGACCTACGACGACAAATCTGCTCGGATTCCCCATTCCCTCGAGGGCATCAACGCCCGCCCACTTAGCGCGAAATTTCTTCGGGCTTATGCCAAAAGAATAAGTTTCTTAATGCTGTAAACCCTCCACCACATGTACCGAATGTTGCGGGGGTGCCATGCCCTCCTGCTGCAGGGCAGGCATCTAGGAGTGAGGTGGAATACTGCACCGAGGCGCAAAGCACTGCGCCTCGCAGGATTCCACCCTCCACAAACATCGGCATTTATGGGATCACAGTGGCTTTCACGTTCCCAAAGTTAATCGAGACGATCCCTAGAACCAGAGCCTCACATGCCGAGCGAGGCCTACAGCAATCATGCGCAGCTGCACCAGGCTTTTTCGCATTTTCTCGCCGGGGCAGCAACCCTAAAGGTGCAGCCCTAGGCAAATGCACCCCAGCGAATTCGCCCCCTATTCGTGGCCTACGGTGATGATCAGAAGTAGAGCGTGAAGCCCATGCGGCGAGCGCACGATGCTTGTCCGAATGGTCACGAGCACTGACATAAAATCTCGAGAGAATCCACGACCCTGACTGAATTCGGTCTGGACGGGATCCGAGTTTCTACTCCGACTGAACCTCGCAAAGCTAAACATGCCCAAATGCATCGAATCCGACCGAATTCTTACCTGGCCAGGATCCACCGTTGTGGTAACTCCATCTCGTGTTCTTCGGGTCGCACCCGGTAACAATTCGCCATTCATGACCTTCTAAGGCCGGATACGACACCTTGAGGGGCATGTCCCCGACCAGCTCCTGCCATCTTTCTTCGAAAAGATCCATGATAGCTGATGATTGCTCCGGTGTAGCCAAAGCTGACAGTATGGCGCAGCAATTTCCTATGGCGAACCAACGGAAATCCAGCCGGGCAGGGCTCACGTTTCCGATGAAGTACCCTCCCTTCATCGGCATGAAATCGAAGACCCAGTCCGGGATGGACTCGGGAATGACATTGAATTTATTTACAGCTGTGTGGGAGTACTCCTCTGTTTTGAATCGGTAGATGTTGTTGAGCTGATTGTGGTCGAGCCAAAAGTATTCGCGCATGTGAAAGCTCAAAGCTGTTAACCTCTTGTCTATGCGCTCGAGGAATTCCTTGCCGCCGTTCTCAGGCTTCAGCAATGTCCTCGCGCACCTCAGCGCCATGAAGAACAACGACTGGATTTCTATGGGGTATCCATAAATCCCCTGACAGAAACAACGAGACGAAACAACAATGCTGTCAGCAGGGCTTCCAAATCAGTCGCTTTTCACGACCTAATCAGACAACATGAGGCCAAGAATGAGCACAAGCCGCTAGAGCTGCCCGTGACAGAGCCAGAGACCGAATCTGACTCGACCGAAAGCGATCGATGATAATACAGTAAGCCCGAGCGAACCTACCATTCTCCTATCGATCATCGCACATCCATCTGCGCAGAGGAGTGTCGGGAAGGTGTCAAATCCATCTGAGAGACAGAGGTTTAGAATAAGCCTCATGCCCCGCTGGCAGTCGGGCGTGTCGGCAAGACTGTGATCTCCGGTAGATCTGGTGTAGGCTCGCAGTAAAATTATCCACCAAAATCCTGAGTCTACCGGTGCAACTCTTCCGATAGCACTCTCGCCGAAATCTGCTATCATTGTATCACTATTCCGCACCGGATCGTGCAGCACTTTGAAACTGGCGGGCATCACGCCTTCACCCAAAGTGAAGCAGTCAATACGCTTCTCCCATGCCTGGAGACGGAGCGCTTTGTTCAAAAAATTCCTCACAATCTCGGGCTCACCATTCATGAGAAAGGCCAGCCCGCTCGGAACGAAGTCCCTCACGAACACCTGCAAGCAAATTCACACACGTATCAGTGCCATTACATCGAAACGAATTTACCTACTGCGCCTTTCCGCAGCTAAATTTCCCAGGTACCCCAATTCCTCGACAGAAAGAAGTGCCCGAAGAAAAGCCGGCTCAAAAGCCAGCGATGAAATCCTACGGCGATTGGGGTAGGCGTCCACCCTGGGCAGAGCATCATGATAGCCGCCAGTGACCGGCGAAAATTCGAATGCCTCGGACCCTCATCCCCCAAATCGGGAACATTCTCGATGGACGTCGAGACAAGGAGACAAACGTACTGGACATGAGGTGGACGGGGACAGAGAGAATTGGACGAGAGTGTGTCCAGCCGTAAGGTAACCAAATCAGCATTGTACAGCACACAAACTTGATGTAGACTCGGCCGTCTACCAGAATCGGCAGAGCGTCACTGTAATTCAGACAAATCTAGCACCTGGTCAACCGTACTCGTCAGAAGCCAGCCTCCCAGGTGCGGGGAGGCTGAGGCTGTCCCACCTCAGAAATCCGCACATCCACGTCTCTAGTACGAATGCTTTGGATGCAGAGCGTCAAATCACAAGCAAATCCACAGCTGCAACATACCTGATTGTAATTGAGGGAGTCTTCGGTGGGATCCATCGCCGCAATGGTTCCCACGGGCTTGCCGCGGAAGTAGACCAGCGATCTTCGCAATGCATCCCACGCATCGCCAATCATGGGATGCGGCTCGAAGGGATGCCGGGGAGTGTTGAAGCCCCTCGGTGTGCTGCCCCGAGGGGTGTTGGCCGCCGATCGTGAAGAAGGTGTCACCATCCCATCCAAGCAATCGGAGCTTTTCACGGTCTCCAAAGTTTGCCGATGTCGGGGAGACCGGAGCTGCTCGCTGAAGGATCTCTCATCGAGCGACCTCTGAGTTTCAATTGTCGGATGGGATCGTGGCTTGACCTCCAGAAGCTTGGAAAAATCGAATCCATTGTCTGTAGTTGGACGGTACCCGTCTACATTCTTCCCGTGAGACTCAGTGTTGGCTTCCATGGACAGAGGGCTCACTGACAGCATATCTACAGGCATGAGACGAGTTCCGCAACCGCTCTATACGAGCTTGAGCAAGCTCCCCAGGGGCACCAGCAGCACCACCTCGTCCTCCGAGTGCCTCACGACCTTCGGTCTTCGTCAGCCCCGATCTAACCCTAGCCTTTTGAGGGTCCAATCAGCGATCCACAATCAACTACCGGTCAAGCTTCCTGGAGATGCATGCAGCAACCTCGTGTGCGTGCTGACGGAGGACGTGCAGTATTGGAACCGCTGATGCCGGACGCAGGGACAGGTGTTGAGTACTTGGGCCGGTTATCAACTTCTCTCGTTTATATGTGCTTGTCGAGTTGGGAAAAAGATTCCCCCAAAAAAATTTCAAGAAATTTCTACAGCTCTCGTATTATATGAATATCATCAATCGCCGGACCGATCTCCGAGGAAAAGATACGCGAGTGGCACGCACAAGCGGGTGGAATGATCAAAGGCTGTGTGCCAACAACTTCCTCGACCTCACGCAATGTCCACGTGCCAGAGGTCGAATTCGCTGCGACAATCTTCGAGTGACAGGGTACAGAGGGGCGGCGGAAACGAACGAAGGAACGAACGATGGAATGAATGGTCGGAGCTGTGAAAATTGGGATCGAAGCCTGAGCTCGAAGATGCGAGGAAACTCACCCCGCACTGGTGAGAGGAGCAGAAACAGAGGCGACTGCGATCTTATAAGACATCCACCGAGAATAGAAAGTGGTGCTGTCCAGAGACTTGCTTCTACGAGCGGCGGCAGCAGCTGTATCCGAAACAGAGTCCGAGCGACAGAACATTCACAAAACGGACACCTCTCTCTCGCCCGCACTCTCGAAGTCCTGTCGACGAGTCGAGCTACAACAACACCTCATATGCCTCCCTCTCCGCGCAACCCGAATCTCCTCTCCTCTCCTCTCGCTCTCTCTGTGAGTGCTCTCTGAACCGTGTCCCACGAAAGGAAAAAGAGCACCGAATGCTCCTCCTCCGAGCGCGAAAGAAGTTTATGTGTGGTCGGTCGGTCAGTCCAATTTCCTCACTCCCGTCTCTCGTTCTCTTCTCCTCTCTCTCTCTCTCTCTACCGGCACCGTGTGACGAAACCCCGTGGGCAGCAACGCACAACCTCGTGAGAGAGGCAATGCACTGCCGGTAGTTCCGGGTCCACGGGGAGGGCGGTAAGAGAAGGAGTAGTAGTAGTAGTAGAGTAGGCAGCAGTCGTAGGTTGGAATCAAGAGGTGAAACCTCGCGTGGTAAGTGTAATAAATCCACCGAGTAGTGAGTGACTCGCGAGCGAGAGCTGTAGATTGCCCGATTGGTCGTCGGAGGAAGATCGCCGTGCGGTCGGTCAGGTGGTGGCGAAGGCGATTGTGATGGTGATATTGATAGTGAGAGTCGGGGTAAGAGCTCGTAGTAGTAGTAGTAGCAGTAGCAGTAGAAAGTGGTAGTGTCACTCACTCACTCACTTCTTCCCTTCCTCACTCACTCGCTCACTCACTGCTCGCCTGCTGGTGGAAGTAGTAGCGGTGATGGTGTATGACAGGCGCGGTCCAGCCCGGCTCAGCCTCGCGGGAGTCAGTAAGGCCCCGGGCACGCAGTAATAGAAGAAGAGGCGACGGGACGGAATGGGTGGTGGCAAGGGCTGCGGGGCGGGAATGAGGGACGGAGAGTGATCGTGTACCACCACCACCACCACAACTACGACCTGAAGGAGAGAAATCACTGTCCGCGTATTTGTTTGTCCACCGCCACCAACCCCCACAACTCACGACAACAACGAAGACGACGACGACGACAACAACAACGCGTGGGCGGTCGAGCGAGCGAGCGAGCGATCGAGGCGGCCTGCACTCGACTCGCACTCGCACTCGCACTCTCTTCACTCTCCCTCACTCACAATTGCCCCAGCAAGCGAGCGATTCGAGCTATCGCAATTGGGGGCACGACTGTGGGCCAGCCGCAGAGCGCACAGCGCAGAGTGAAGAGCGTGTGTGAGAGAGAGAGAAATAGAGAGGAAGGAAGGAAGGAAGGACCGGGGTGTGCGAGGAGAAAAAGAAACGCCGATCCTCTCCCGGGAGGAAAATGAAATGGCGAAGAGAGAGAGAGAGAGAGAGAGGAGGAGGAGGAGAGTGTGCGAGTATGTGTGTGTGTGTGCTGGCAGCGGAGGCTCGAGCGGATGCAGAAAAGGAGACACGCAAGGGAATAGAAGAGCTTGTGAGAGAGAGAATATAAAGGGGAGAGGTCTGGTGCGTGACAGCTAGATGCTGGCAGGGGTACAAGAGCATGGGTAAGGTCGGTAGAACCGGATATGATGCGATTGATGAGAGAGAAGGGCTTCTTCCTTCGCGGTGGGCCCCATCGCCATCCCCCTGCTAACCCTCGACTCCTGCCAGAGAGAGAAACTAACGACGGAGCAGGAGAAGGAGAAGAACCCTAACCAAACCCGCAGAGCCCCAGCTTAACCCATGTCATGGGCATCGCTCACTCCCTCCTCCATCGCATGCATGATTGACCCGACCTACTCATCCATCCACCGTCGATCGCCTGTCATCTGCGCCACATGAATGGCCCCGTACACCGCTCGCTCGGACGGGGGACTTTAGTGCTGCTGCTGCTGCTTCTTCTTTCTGCTGTGTTCTTCGTCTGCCCTCTGCTGCTTTGTTTCCCGTCCGCTTAACAGGCGCCCCGCCCCGCCCCACCCCACCCTCACGCCATGGATTTGATTCGCTCACTCAGCCAGCCACCCAAGCCCCTTTCCGTCACGGACTCGGGGCCGATCGCATTTCATCAGCCGCGCCTTCGGCCGTCGTCAGATTCGGACTACAGTCGCCCCGGCCACTGACTACGACGAGCGACATGCATTTGCCTCTCTGGGCCGCCGCCGGCCGGCCGGCAAACTGGGTGCACAAAGTCAGTCAGGTCCACGATAATCCCTCTCATGCTCGCAAGCACGGTCGCGCTCTTCAATGCCCGCGGGCCGGCGGGCGGGCGGGCGGGCGGGCTGGCTGGCTGGCTGGCTGGCTGGCAGACAAGACGCAGCTTTTGGCCTCGCCTACCGCGCATTGTAGGTCCTTCCCTACCTGACCTGAACGACAGACACAGAGAGAGAGAGAGGGAGAGAGATTCAGAGAGAGGCGAGAGACTTCGCGGTGCCTGGGTGCCTGCTGCCGCCGCCGGCGAGTGAGCCGAGCTGATCTCAGCTGACCTTCGCTGATTCTGATCTGAGCTCACGCTCCGCGTCCCTGCCCTGGCTGTGGCCGGGAGGGGGGATGTCGACCCGTTTCGCCGGGCGCGGGCAGCTTCAACTGCTCGAATGTACTGCCCCGGCCCATCCGGCCATCCGACCCGTCCGCCCGCCGGGCCCGAACATGCTCCTCGAGGTTGAGCGGCCCGGCGGTCGTCCCCGTCCGGTGAGATGCGTGCATGCAAGTGAGGGCCGAGGCGGGAATTCGCGACGCTCTGGAGGAGGAATGTGCTCTCGCTAGTTTGATTGCCGGACGCAGGACGGAGGAGGAAGAGGTCCACTGCCACTATTCTGTTTCTTGAGTGCGAAGGTGTCGCATGTTCTCCGAATTGCATGTCCGAAAGTCTCGCATGCGGGCGAGCTCGTCGAGCGTTTGCGCTCACATGTGCAGGATGTGCATAATTCTGCGACCTCGGAAGACGAGGATTGTAGGATCATACAGTGCGCGCTGGTGGTCAGCCAAAGTGGACACCTTTGGGCGTGTCTTATGGCTAACCCTACCACAGCCTGAATCCTAAACGATTGCACGCCCTCGCTTGGTATACCGCATCACCTCGCGTCGCATGAGTCGGATGAATCTATGCAAGTCTTCGGGTGTAATGTACTGGTGCGATGTGGGGAAGAAGAATCTAGAGGTGAGTCAAAGTAGCGACACTTCACATCAGCCAGGAGGGTGATTAAGATTCTATTAGTACACGTACCCACAACCCCCAGGCTACAAGCAGAATAAGTGCAGGAAGGACTCGTACCGCTCACTCGTAGGCCTGGCTCGACGGGGAGGGGCGGGGAGGGGAGGGGAGGGGAGGGAGGCAAGGCCCACGGTGCCCAAGGAGGGCACCACATGGCGGGCATCGATTGGGGGGCGAATCTATTTTGGGTGAGGGGAATCGAATGGGGCGAGCGAGGGACGGATTTCGGATTGCAATCACACACATCCATCGCAAGAGGATGGATGGAGATTATTGATTAGGGCGACGCGCAGGTGCGGCTGCCTGAAGGAAACCCCCAGAGTTTCCACATCACGCTCTTGTCAGAATCACGCGAGACTTTACTGGAGCGCTGCTAAAAAAGATGTCACCGCTGTCCATCGATCAGCTCACACGCTCACATCGACATAGAGAGTAGGCTTGCTTCCCCTCCAAATGAAAGCGCTCGCAGGGTACCTCCACCATCTCCCGTGCTGCCAGCCTCTCGACGTCCCCTGCTTCTGTCCCTGCGGGTGGGTTGTGGGTTGTGGGTTACCTCTGGCTGGCCCTTTGCGGCTCCCGCTGCTAACCAGCTGTACCATGCTCCCACTCTTTTGACTCTTCATCTGTCTGTCTCTTCGCCACAACATCTGTCTGACTGTCTGTCTGTTCTGCGTGGCGAACTATGCGCTTCAAGATCCGTCGTGTTAGCAGAAGCAGCGATCACAGCATTAGGGATTTCGGCCCTCCCGCCCTCCACTTTCCGCTGCCTGGTTCAGTTCCCGGAAGCCCTACCCACTGTGTCCAACCATCGTACAGTGTACATCGAAGTTAGGTAAGAGCTCGGCTGCCGAGAGCGTCCTCACAAGACTACTATTTACAGCTCTCGAGCGCTTGCTTCTTTTCCCTCGTCACTCGTTTCGGCGGTTGATCACGCCCGTAGGGACCGTATGCACGACTTTTTCCTTCCGAGATGTTTGCAGTGCTAAATTCAGCTGTGCGCCCGGGGCTCGCGTTTATTTTTACTCCAGTACTTCCCTTCTTTCCCCAATTTGCTGCTGGTTCCGTAGGAGATGTGACCGCATCCATCTCCCACGTCGAGAGCTGGATGTTGGCACAGAGCAAATGCGCAGGAGAATTCGACTTTCATTCCATTTCAGTACATGCAGTACAGGCCCTCCTGCGGTAGGACTAGTCCAGTCTACTTCTACTTCTTCTTCTTCTGCTTCCCGCCTGACATTAAATTACGGAAAGATCGCCCACCGTGCCACGGTAGTCCTTGGGCAAAGGGCAAAAGGGCTCCTGCTCGGCAACGATTGTACCGCGGGACGACGGAACGTGAAGCAGGGCAAAACAAATCGCTCTCGATAGATTCGAGACGGACCGGACCCATGCTCGCATTGCATTCCGCTCGCCACAGATTCATTTCAGGACGCGTTCGAGCGGCCAACAACAACAACATATAACAAGAAAGAGCCCAAATTTAACAGATCGAACTAATTCGAAACGATTTTTTCCTCGCAGCCAGAGCGAGTTAGGCACGTCTCTATATATGCACTACACGTGAGCTCTCCGGCCTCAGAAACGACCAGTCACGCATTTTAAAATATGGGCTCATCAACCACGACGTCCTACTCCGACAGCTCTACCCTACTTCAGGGACTCCTAAACTGGGGGCGCGCTGCTTGTCGTTTAGCCAACCGACAGCCCTAGCCGCCCCCAGGGCGGAATCTAACCCTGGTCAGGTCTCCGGCCGGTCGTCACGAGTCTCTCACGCAAGAAAACCTTGCGCGAAACCGCGCAACTGTTTCTGTAGGTTTTGTCCTCCTTATCCGCGCGAGTCCGGGATTCCACCCCGCGCGGTTCCGCGCTCGTAACCGGGCTACCCAAAAGCCGTTTCGGACAGGACGTCACATGGCTTAGCTTTTCCTCCCGCTGCGTCCACTTTTCTCACCCTTTGGGCGTACCACGTGGGTCATTCCGTATCTGTTATGTGGTTACCCTCTGTGGTCTCCTCGTCACGCGGTGACCGGCGAACGGCGCTTTGCGCTTACTGCGTTGTTTCTTATTCTGGTCGGTGGTAACTCAACTCCCACTCTCTTTCTTTCTTTCCCACCGTGTCTCTCTTCTTCCCTCTCCGGTTTCTTTACACAAGATAAACTGCATAAAATACGCCTCGATGTTAGTCCTATGTTCGCACGTGACTCAGAACCTTTTCTCACATCGATTGATTGACTTCGCATTTTTGGGCCAATGGACACTTCCCATCTTTTTCGTTATCTGCTTGGCCCCGGCCATTTTCTGACCAATGGATATACACCGTATTTACTTTGGGTACGAAATGGGTGAAACTCGAGTCCCGTCCTCGCAGTAAGATTGGGTAATTAGATCCTACAAACACGGGGAATCTCGTTTGATTCTTCAACCATTTATTTGATGATAACACACATGGGGCAATAATAGAAAGATCCGTGTAAGACCCCCTCGAGTCTTACAGTACATGGATATAACCGAACGATGACATGGGTTTACCAAATAGTATCACGATGCTGAATATATTATATTCAATGTATTGTTTTATAATTATCTAAGTCAAATAATTCACAAAAACCTCGAATACTATAAATATAATCTAATGTGAGTATTGCTTTCATCCTTGGGAAATAAAGCCTATACTTGGACCATATTCACAATTATAAAATTAGTGAGGCCAATGAATGGATCTTCACTCATCTTCTTTCCGGAGGATGAATAAAACCAAATGTATGGTTTAAATTTCTACTTTTATTTTTGAATACGAAATTGTATATCCAATAACTAAATAATAATTTGGTAAGATATGGAACTTACAATACTTTTTTTCAACTTTGAACTGAAACACAACCTAACATTAACGAAACTTATGTGCATGATTTATCTATTAAAATATCATAAAAATTTACTAACTCGGGATATCCTTTCAGTTTATTGGAGCCGAGTGAAAAAAGATTACTCTCATTTGTAGATTAAAGAATTTGACTGAATAAAGTACGATGAATGTGAGTAAGATCTCACAACAGAAAGTGGCTCGATCAATGTCAAGCTCCATTTTTCTACGCTGTGTGATCCAATATTAAAAGCATTTTCAACATCAATCTACAATCCAATTCACCTGGAGATCTAAAAGTGCTCTTATACTAAGAATAATTTAGAGTCCATTCATGTGAAAACTTCTATCTGATGCTGATAAAAAGTAATAGAGTGTGAAAATTTTTGCAAAAG